CCCCTTGCTCTTGGAATATTGCTGCCACCTCTTTTATAATGGTCCCTGAACCTTGAGCATGAGGGAGATGTACATATCCCGTTAGTGGCTGAGCACTTCATAGACACACTTTGCACTTTGGCCTGTTAGGAGTGTCTGGGTCACTCTCCACTGAACCTTTGTGTTTCTTTAAGTGTTTCCAGTGAGGACAGAGGGCTGCACTACTTAATGTATAGGCACAGAGATAGAGGTCCAGAGATCAGTCTGATACCTTGTCTATTTAGCAAAATGATAATAGTATTTTACCCCTGGGACCTGTGTACTCCCCAACCATGGGCTCTTGGCCAGATTCATAGTGCCAAGTATGCGTTTTCTCCTGTGGAATAGACTTCAAATCCAGTCAGAAATCAGTTGGTTAGCCCCGTAACATTGATGCCTCCTTTGTACCAGTTGGCATATTTCACAGTACTGTAATTACTGTAATATTCACAGTTGGGAAGGCAACTGATGATTTCCCCCACACTCCAGCAGCCTACATAGTACCTTCCTTTCATTCAAAATGTAGCCAGCAGAAAGAAAGCTTCTTGGTCCTTCTTGACAAAAGTGTGTGGTGTCTTCAGCAATAGGGTCTTATCACCAAGTTCTGGCGGGCAACCAAGATCAGTGGGAGTAGCTGTACTGGTTTGGAAGTCCTGACCTATGTCACTCAAGGGGAGGCAGCCCATATCTGACATCAGATGGCCTCCGAGAAGAGTAATATCTCTTGTTCATGGTGACTCCAGTTAAACTCTTTTATATGCATATATGCATATACTTAGGAAACTTTTAAAACAGGAAGTTTCCATATAGCTTTTCGAAACATCCTTAGAATTAGTTATACTTCCTCCCAGCGCCCTCTACATTTCCTTCCCGTTCAAACACAGGTGATATAAAAGGGGAAGGAGGAATAATGGGGAGGCCCGTTTAGATGGAGGGATGCTACCTTTCTGTATAAGGTTATTTCCTTAACTCATTTTATTGCATATAGCATGCCTATAGTAAAAAAGCATAGAGTCAATGTATACAATTTGTAAACATGTGCAAGTGCACACAAACACGTAACCGCCTCCCACTGTGTTAGAAGCCTCCCTCTTATACTAGCTTAGCCCGTGCTATGTTTGCAAGAGTAAGCACCACCCTGACTTCAGTCAGCATGGATTGGAACAGCAGGCCTTTGAACTCACATGTGTAAGACACACAGTACTGTTTCCATCCAGCTGCTTTGCCATTGTATCTGGGAAGTTCATTCACAGTGTTGGGAGTGGCAGTTTTGTGTATAGTTATATGGTAGCTGGTTGAATGTATTCATTGTACTGTTGGTGGGTGTTTGGACTGCTTTCAGATGGGGGCCATTATCAATAACATTGCAGGTATCTGTTGCCTCTTAACATACCTGTTATGTAAGAATAGATATGGGTCATAGGGTGTGGCAGATAGTTTTAGCAGATGTTACAAATCACTTTTCTAAAATTACAGTAACAGTTCATACTCATAGTAGATCATCAGAGGTGAAGTCACTGCCGGTTCTCATGAGTTAGCTTTTCTGTTGGGCATGGAAAGGTATCTTGTTGCCATTTTAATTGCACTGCATTTCCCCAGTAGTTAATGATGCCAACTGTTCTCTTTGCAGTGTTTATCGGCATGTCTTTCAGGAACTGCCTGTTCAAGTCTTTTCCTATTTTCCCCTTCCTGATTTATAGGAGTTACCCCAGATAATTCTGTTGTCTGTGTGTATTTCAGTATCTTCTCCTATTTTATGACCTTGCCCTTTAACTCTTTTAACGGTTTTTAAATAGGGAAGTTTTTAATCTGATAGTCGATTTTTTTTTTTTTTGCTTTTATGTTACAGTCATGAAGTCTTTATCTAACACAGGGTCTTGAGGACATTCTCTGTATTTCCTTGTAGACATTTTACTGTTTTACCCTATGATCCATCTAGAATAGAATTCTTAGATGGAACTGGAGTTTTATTGTCATATATCAAAATGGCCATGTCATGCTCTGTGGGGTGAGCACATCCCGTTAGATCAGATGGCAGCGGTGTGGAGCTGTTGGAACATTTGTCCGCTGTTTCTAGCCCAAGTTTCTGACTCTGTAATCATTTTAAGGACTATGGTTTTGTAAGTACTAATATACATTCCTTAAATACACACACACACACACACACACATGCCCCCCATGCACGCACACATGTGTACACACGTGTACACAAGCGCACACTTGTACACAGAAACGCACATATGTGCACGCGCACACACACTCTCTCTCTTTCTCTCTAGGAAATGGGAGATATTTTAAGTCTATGTAGCCATTTTGCTGATTTTTTCCATATCCTGGCCTCAGAGGATGCAAAGTTTTGCTTGAGTCTCATTTGGAGCCTAGAGAACTCTAGAGATCCAGCATGAGCTGTGGTTTCCCACTGTTGCTTGAGCTCCAGGTCAGAGTCGGGTTGCATTGTTTTCTATCTCGTCCTCTGACTCTGCCCTGTTGTCTCTGCCCAGCTCTGCTCTCTTCCCTCACTGCAGTGGCCCTCTTACCTCTGACTTCTAGTCAGGCCAGAAAGGAGAAAACATGGGTAGGTGATCAGAAAGAGCAGAGGGAATGAGTGCCAGGCGTTTATTTCCCTGCAGACTCATTTTGGGCTGGATGGCCCCAGACCACAGGCCATTACAGGTCCCACAAGCAAGTTGTCTCTTCTAGCTCTCTTTTTGAGGCTTCTTCCATGTCTGCTGATGTAGGCACTACATTGCCCCTTGTTCCTCAGCACCTTTCCGTACCTTTGTTAAACTCTGCAAAGTGTGTAAGTTGAATGGATCAGAGTTCCTCCCTGCCAGGACTCTGCTCACTACACAAGTAGAAGAAAAAGAATGTTCTGGGCAGCTCAGGAACCAAGATCAGTTATCCTGCAGAAACCTTGGCAGCTCTGCTGGAGAATGTGCCTCTGACTAACCCTGCCTGGAGGCAGTACAGGGACTCCATCTTTTTCTCTCTCGTACCATTTGGGGCCATCTGTGGACTATTGATGACTTAAGTAGACTTGGTAGTCTAAAGCAAGCATTTTAGGTATGAATTGTTGTTGCACCTTCTGACTTAAGTTCATAACGGAATGGACACTGCTCTGCCTGTGCTTGCATCCCAGACACAGCCTCACACCGCCCGAGGATGTCAGAAGGGCGGGTGAGAATGCCAGACTGCAACAAGCTTTAAAGTAGGAATGAAATTACTGCTATTGAAGAATTAGAGCTGAGACAGTTCCGGAGAGAGCAGCCTCAAGCTACAGCAAATGTGAATTACCCTAAATCTTTAGTGAGTCCAACACTGAAGTAGTTTAATTCCTCTTTCGACAGTTGGATTATTTAGTTGTCTGCTTTAGGAATTAATTTTGGAATGACATCTGTAGCAGTAGAGAGGACTGTTGAATTTCTTGCACCAAAATAGAAATCATGTCCCGAGAGTCATTTGATGACAACAGTAATTAACCTGGATCACACATCAGCTGTACCAGCAAACATGACAGTCCTGGAATTGTTTGGAGATTAAAATGAGAATGTCAATAGCAAGCAAGACAGAACATCATATATTTTCACAAGCAAGTAGCAAATGGACTCCTACTTTTCTTTGGACATGGCTAAACCTGTCCATTGCTGTGCAGACTTAGGTGAGCCAAGCCTTTTGTTTAATCTCCCCTAATACAGATGGGGATGGTTTTCTTCCCAGCCTCTTTCACTAGCTGTCCGGCTGTTGTGCACATGGCCTGACACCCCTAGGCCACATGCCCTAGGAGATAATGAAAAACAGTGCCCGTGAGGCATGTTTGTCATGCATAATTTTTAAAACATTCTGAATTTAGAAAATACAAATATTAAAAATTCCAACTTCTGACTATTTTTAAACAACGAGGCGATTTGAGAACAATCACCCCTTTACTCTAGCATGGTGATCCTTGCCTTTGATGAAGGGATCAGTAGGAAGCCCTGGTGTTCACTATCAGCCTCCCTCATTTATGTGGCCCACCCACACTATAGCCATGGGTTGGCATGTGCCCAACACTTTGGTTCTAAGTACCAAAGGCAACTAAGAGATGTAACTGATCATTCAGTTTTGTTTCTTGTAACACGAGTTCTAATAGGTTCTAATAATAAAAGCCCAGAGTCAGATATAGGGGAAATTGCTGCCCAACCATATCACCTCCTGTCTGTCTCTACAGACCTACAGATCTCTATGGTTAGCTAGTGGCTAGCTCCGCCCTCTGATCTTCATGTAAGCTTTATTTGTACAGACAAGATATCACCACAATCCCCAAGCTGTGAGAGGCTGAGAACCTTGTCCACCTGTGTTGGTATGTCCCTAGCGTTTCGTAACTGTTTATTGAATTAAATGGGAATTCTGTTTAGGAAATGAATCTGGCAGTCATTAAAGGAACATGGTGAACCCTGGGGGTTAAACAGACCTGGGGGGGAGGGCGCCAGAAGAAGTTAGACAAGATGGGACTCTGAGACACAATTTGAATAAGAGTCCATTGGATTGAAAGACTCATGGAATGGAGTGTGAAGGAGAAAAGGGCAGGTGGGTTTGGAGCCTCAAGGAGTAAGAGTGTGAGGCTAGAGGGATGGCCCAGCAGTTAAGAGTGCCTTTTCTTCTCTCATGAGGACCAGAGTTCAGACCTCAGTACCCACATCAGACAGCTCACAAACGTCCTTAACCCCAGCTCCCGGGGATCCAGTGTCTTCTAAGGGAACACATGTAAGTACACAAACACACACACACACACACACACACACACACACACACACTAAAAACAAACCTTTTTTAAATAAGTGAAATAGCAGTGCCCTTAACCCAGCTTCGTAGGTAGATACCACGGGAAGTCTCTGCTATCCCAGTCCATTTTGAGATGGGAAGGGAATCCGAGGCTTGATCATATAAAATCAGTGAGTGCTGATGACTAGTCTCAGAATTGATTCCTTGTGTTCTAACCCCAGAGCAAAGACCATCAAGAATACAGTCTCGGTGAACTTGGAACTGACAGCAGAAGAATGGAAGAAGAAATATGAAAAGGAGAAAGAGAAGAACAAGGCCTTGAAGAGTGTCATCCAGCATCTGGAGATGGAGCTGAACAGGTGGAGGAATGGTGAGGATGGATGGAGAGGGGAGGAGGCCGGGACATACGCTTTCTCCTTCCCGCGATGGGCATCCTGGGAGCCTCTTGGGAAGCGGGGATGATGGTGGAATTCAAGCATTTCCAATTCCCGGGATGATGAGTGTTTTGCTCTTTTGCTTTGCTAATGTGTTTTATTATTCCTTGGCACCATGGCATGCCTCGTTCCATCCTGTGGCCTGCACATAGTAGTGTGGACTAGGTGGCCTGAATCATCAATCTTTTTGTATGTGTGCATGGAGAGATGCACATGTGTGGGGGAGGGGTTCATGTGTGTGTGTGGAGGAGTGCACATGTATAAGGAGGAGTGTGTGTGTGTGCGCGCGCGCACGTGTGTGAGGGTTCATGTGTATACACATTTATGTCGAGACTAGAGAACAGCTATGGGTGTTCTACCCGGGAAGACTTGGAGACAGGGTCTAGACTAGCTAACAATCCCCCATAGACCAGTCTGTTCCCACCTTCCCTGCTCTGGGGTTATGAGCGCGTGGCACCATGCCTGGTATTTTTTAATGTGTATTATTGGGATGGAATTCAGGTCCTTGTGTTGAGCACCAAGCACTTGCTTGAGAAAGCAATTCCCCAGCCTGACCAGAATCTGTTTCCGGTGCTGTACTTTCTGTGGTTACTGTCCTTCATTCTCAGGGTGACTGAGTGTTGGCTTTGACTAGTACAGATTGCTTCGACTAAATGGAAAAATATGATTTGCTTCAGTCTTGCCGTTTATTTGGGGTTAAAGGTCACCTGTGGCAAGTACTTGCCTTTTCTGACCTGCCTCACTGTCAAGTTCTTCAGAGTGAAAGATACAGGGCTAAGGAAACCATGTTCTAAAATGGACTCCGACAGACACGCCTGATGACTAGCTTTCCCCCTCCTCGAACAATGTCTTTGGCTCGTTCTACAGGAGAAAATATCTCAGAGAGCTGGCGTGCCGCGGGTGGGTGGGTTGTGGGAGAGGTGTTAGGAGTGGCTTCCAGATCGGAGGGCAGACAGATTATTTTGGTGACTTTAGCATGATGACAGAGCTCAGAAGGTAGCATTCTGTTTGAGTCTGGAAGCAAGGCATTTGGAGCTGCGTGTCAGAGGATGGGAAAAGCTGGAAGCCATTCGTTCCTCAGAGTGTGTGTATTTCTGCCACTACCGCAGCCTGTGCGCCCTGAGGGCGGGAGCCTGGGGGTTGCTGAGCAGACCTGGAAATACCGCGCCTGTTTGCGACTGCACAGTGAGCTGCTTGTCGGTGATGGTTTTTGCGGCTGCATCTCGCTAGTAAGGATCCAGTGTCAGTGAGCTGCTTAGTTAACTGAAAAGCAATTACGTGGCAAACAGGAATTCAAGAGACGATCAAAAATTGACCCAGTAGCCTAAATAAGAGGATTTTCCTCTTCTCGGAAGTGTTTCTAGCTACACATGTGTTTCATAAACTGCTAGGATAACTGAATAACTCAGCACCTGTGGTGGGTGATGATTCCATGCAGATTGGCAGGGGCAGAAGAATGGGAAGTGTAGAAAGCAAGGTAGGAGGAGGCGGCTCTGGGAAGCTTCGCTGTATCTCTGGAATCCGTTTGGGTCAGTTCTCTGTGCGATGACTGGGCCATTTCGCCCTTGGAGAGGGGTTAGCTCACTGGCTTTAGAAGCACTGTGAGCTGGGCAATAGCCTGGTTATTCTAAACATTTCCCATCTCTCTCTCTCTTTTTTTTTTCTTCTTCGAGACAGGGTTTCTCTGTGGCTTTGGAGGCTGTCCTGGAACTCGCTTGGTAGTCCAGGCTGGTCTCGAACTCACAGAGATCCGCCTGCCTCTGCCTCCCAAGTGCTGGGATTAAAGGTGTGCGCCACCAACGCCCGGCACATTTCCCATCTGTTGCCTAGCTCTAGCAGTCTGATCCTTCACCTGGAAAATGCCCTGCCTCGTTTGCCTGGCTTCCTTCATGCCTGATATTTCTTCAGGGTTCTGTATCCCGTTCTTGGCCCCTGCGTCTGCCATCACATTAACTGGTTGACCCGCTTCATCCTCATTGCAAATCTTTAAAGTACGATTTTCTGTGTCTTTTGGTGAGAAGCTATGCAATCCCATCAGTTACATTCTTTGGGGAAATTCGGTAAGGCATAGGTCTGAGGGCCTGGAGCTCAGGGACTTCTTGAGCTGAGGAGGGGAGGCTGAGTAATACTGATCTTTCCATGGTGAATGAAAGAGGCAAGGCCCCTATAAGTGACAGGTGGGGAGGAGAGAGGCAGTGGAGATCGATGGACCCCCACAGCCTATCGCCCAGTAACCACGGGGCAGCTGAGATGGGAGGTCCACAGCCCATCGCCCAGTAACCACGGGGCAGCTGAGATGGGAGGTCCACAGCCCATCGCCCAGTAACCACGGGGCAGCTGAGATGGGAGGTTCTGCAGAGACCCTTGCTGATATTCTTGTTGTAAAAGTGACTGTTTTTGCAGGCACAGGTTTTTAAGTGCACATAGACTGATAGAGACTACAGGTAGGAGGAGTGTAGTGAGGCAGAGTAAGGAAACCGGGTGGTTCTAGGATGAACGTGTAGAGCAGTGTCAATGTTAACTTGTGATGTGTTAGTGTCTACCACATGTACAACAAACCAGGGCCAGGATGTGTTTTCTGCTCAGGGTTGACTGGCACCTTGGTCTCTGGGAGAGCTGTAATTCCTTCCTTCCTTCCTTCCTTCCTTCCTTCCTTCCTTCCTTCCTTCCTCCTTCCTTCCTTCCTTCCTTTTTTGATTTTTTTTGAGAGACATTCCTGGAACTTTCTTTGTAGACCAGGCTGGCCTCAACTCAGAAACCTGCCTGCCTCTACCTCCTGAGTGCTGGGATTAAAGACTTGAGTCACCACCATCCATTGAGAGTCATAATCTTCACCAGAGTCTAGTCCCTTCTGTCATTGGTGCCGCCTACACATAAAGCTAGCCTTAGTGATTGCATATAGGCCAATGAGGTGAGTGAGAAAAGTGCCATCCCAGAGGGGAATGGGCTGGAGGCCCTCCGCGCTGTCCTGCACCAATCCTTGTACTTGAGTCCTGAGGGACAATAGCCATACAGGGAGAAAAGCTCACCTGGAGACAGTGCCAGCTCCCCCAGCTTCTATCAGAATGGCAGGATATTGCCTGGATCCCTTTGAAATATGGCATTGGGTCTAAACTTCTAGGAGGCAGCTATTTAATTTACTTCAACATTCCCCGGGTAGTGATATTTCCACACTGGGATATGAACAAGTTCTAGGAGCCCTGTCAATGTGTGCTTTCCCTGGGAAAGATACTTCTTTCCTTGCGTGATGTTCTTATAATTCAAAAGTTCCACTGCTCTATTCCATCTGAGAGAGCGAGAAAGAAGTTGTGTGTGCATGCCCGTGAACTTTTGGGCTTCCCTCACTTGCTGTCATGGAGAATCCAGTGGCAATACAAGGCAGGAGGAAATCAATTGCAAATCAGTTGCAGACAAATAAACGGATAAATAAGGACACATGTCTGGCCCGGTTGATAATGACAGATAATAGAAGACATTACCCAAGAAAAAGGGATGCCTGGACTAGTATCACTGGAAAGTTATAAAATGTTACCCTATTACATGCCTAGAGGCTGATCTAAGGTCTGACCTATGCCTGGACCAACTTGAAGCTTGACTGGAAGTTTGTGTTCCCTCCAAAGGACTTGTTGAAATCACAGTTTCTGAGGCGATGGTACTAGGACATGGTTTCTGTGGGACTTGTCCAAGTTAGGATTTCTACTGCTGTGATGAAACCCAACTAAAAGCTGCTTGGGGAGGAAAGGGGTTACAGGACTCACACTTCCACATCACTGAAGGAAGTCAGGCAGGAAGCTGGAGGCAGGAGCTGACTGACGCAGAGGCCACCGTGCCGTGCTGCTCACTGCCTGGCTCCCCATGGCTGGCTCAGCCTGCTTTCTCATACAACCCAGGGCCCCCAGCCCAGGGAAGGCCCCACTCACAATGGGCTGGGCCCTTCCACATTAGTTACCAATTGAGAAAATGTCCTACAGGTTTGTCTGAAGCCGCATCTTAGGGAGGCATCTTCTCAGTTGAGTGTCAAGCTGACGTAAGCCAGCCAGCACAGGGGTTGACTGTTTCCCAAGCGTTATTGCCTTCATGTGATCCCCATGAGGCTGTGCTTCAAGAGATGGCGCCTGCAAACCCGGAAGAGCTCCCTCTCCCCCATCCAAGAAGACTTGTGCATGGGTATGGACATAAACTAAATAGAAACATAAATACAATTTTTAAAATAAACAGAGTGCCGGCATCCTGGCTCACACCTGCCTGCAACTCATGCACAGCTCATCTCCAGACATTCTAGAGACAGAGGCGGGAAGATTCCAAGTTAAAGCTAGCTTGGGCCACAGAGAGACCCTGCCTCAAAAGGAGTCATGAAATAGGATGAGAGGCTACTTCTGTGTAGCTTAAACTCCATTATTTTTTTTCTTTTTGAAATCATGGATAAGTGAATAAAAATGTAATTTCTAAGAAAAAAGGAAAATGAAACCAAAAAACTTCCAAGTTTAAAATTGAAACATTTTTTTATTTTTGAGATTATGATTTTATTACAACCTTCCTACCTTCTGTTTCATCCCTCCAAATACTCCCATGTACTTTCCCTGCTCTCCTTCAAATTCATGGCCGATTTTTCACTAATTATTATTGCCAGACTTAAACTTTTAAAAATTACATTTATGGTACTTGTGTACATGTGCCGTATGTACGTACATGACACACTTCACTTGTGAATGTCAGGGGACAACTTTCAGTAGTTAGTTCTCTTCTTCTGGGTCCCAGGGTCTGAACTCGGGAGATAAGGCTTGGCAGCAAACACCTTTACTTGGCAAGCCTTATTGTTGGCTCCTAAACCAAAATTTTAACAGAAGTCCATGTCAGAAAAAAAAAACCCGAAAGTTCAGGTGTCAGACTAGCAGGGTAAAGGCCATCTGCTGTGTCTGTCATTTCTCCTGTTGAACACTAGGTATAAAATGAGTAGAGTGGATTTGGATTACATTGTGGGAATCGTGATAGTAAATGCTTTCTTTTGTTTGGTTTTCTTGAGACAGCATTTTGCTGTGTTGCTCAGGCTGGCTTTGGCCTTTGATCCTTCTTCCTGCCTTACCTTGCCCAATGATGGAGTTTCAAGAGGGAGGGGACCACTGTGACTGTTGCTATTTGTTCTTTCTGCAGTAAGTCTATGGCGATGCTGGTCCACTCTTGGATTCGTAGGTGTGAGCTCACAGGAGTTAGCGTTTCAGTCAAGTTGTCTAATTTGTTAGGTCTCCTTTCTTACTTTGAGAGTGCAGCTAAACTAACAGGAACACTGACTGCTCAGCAAACCCCGTGGCCTGCTCAAAAGACATGAATGGAAAGCCCGTGTGTTAGAAAATTGCTCTAGACAAAATTAGGGGATGTCAGGAGCTGCTTACAGTGTTTTTAGGAAAGAGGATGAAGGATGCTATTGGTATGTAAAACAGTCTCATAAAGGAATGATTTGAAAAAAAAAAACCTTCACATTTATATAGTGACATCTTGTAGCCAGCTGCTCTTGCCCATCTGGCAACTTTAAAGACTTCCTTTCGGTGTCTTCGATACAGAAATTACTTACCAGTAGGTTTGCCTCTAGGTCTGTTTAATTGGTATTAAAACAAAGCACCTCGTTCACCAGATCTACAGTGGTTTCTGGTGGAAGCTGTGAGTGACCTGCAAATCCCTGCCTGGAGTGGCTGAGAAAATGCAATTACCTCTCCGTATTTTCCAGAGGCTTCAGGGACTCAACTTAGGAAAAGAATAACTAGCTTGTTGCTATTTCATGTGTGAAATTTAATGATTCCCTGGCAGTCTAGTGGCATTCCTAAAGGAAAAAAGGAACCAAGTAAACCCACTTTAGAATTTTTAACTAATAGACCTAATGAGATTTTGTTGTTGGTCTGACACTCTCATCCATCGAAACTGGTGGATTTCCATTTTTGCAGAGATGTTATTTATGCTCTCTGGAGGTTTTCCTTTTATAATTAGAAGGTTCTGCAAGCCTTATAGGTATGCTCCGAGTGAGTGCTCCTGTGTAAACACAAATCTTTTTAGTTCTTAAAGGTAATTACAGCTGACAATAGTAAATGCCAGGGTGCTTATTTAAAGAAGGGGACCTTGCAGCTTAGAAACCCAGACATTTCCAAGGTTATAAGCTCTTCTATAGACAGCAGGTACAAGCCTCATGGGCCGGACTAAAAGAAATCTGCTTTTCATAGAGCAGAAAGAAGATAAAAACCGTTGCTAATTTTCACTTGGTGGTCTTTCTCCCGGACTGATTGCAGGGCATTATCCCTCCAGGGCTGGCGCACAGCTCTCCTCTCTGTTACAATCAGTTATTCCCTAATCATCTTGTGGAGCACACTGCAGTGCAGGGAATATTCTCGATTAGCACGGTGAGATTGCCATGGAGACAGATTGCCTGGTGTCAGCTCTTGCACAGGGTTGGGAATTTACAGTCCCCAGACATCATCCTTACCAGGGTCACTTCTGGAAGTCATTCGCCCGCTTCTTTGAAGGGTAGCGGTGTTTGGAAACCCTTTGGTTCCTCCCTGGGCAGGAGCTCTGCTGCTTCTGCTTCTGCGTGTGGCTGCCTCGTTCAGCTCCACCTGAATGGCTGCTGCAAAAAAAAAAAAAAAAAAAAAAAAAAATCATGCCTGCCTGACCTTTAGAATATGAACTAGCAAGAGCTTGCTGTTTACATGTAGCTTTGTGGGAGAGGTGTTGACACACCGATTCAGAGAAGTGCTCATGAGAAACCAGAAAGACTGCTGTAGGTTTCAAACCCTGTTTTACTAATGTTAAAAATAACCCTGAAATGGACTTGCATAACTGGTATTTTATTTTTTAGAAGACCGCCGGCCACACTAGAAAAATTTAATTAAGAATAAGTAAAAATAATGGGATTGTCGAGCATCTGAAGTTGCCCTTGTGCCAGGGAGCAGAGGGAGTAAGAGATAGGACTTGAGCCCGTGGTGCTGTCTGTGCTCGTGGTATCTACTGTCTTTGGACAGCTCCGTGATGAAAGCCGTGTTGTTTCCTCTTCTCCTTTACAAAAAGCAAGTAGAGAGGCTAAGCAGGCTGTGGGCCTGTGATTAATTCAACTTGTGAAAACGTGTAGTGTGGCTTCAGGATAGCTTTGCAGCACTAGACATGTTTATGAGAATTTGGTGATCATTTTCTGGGGGGGCAGAGGGGGGAGGACCCATAGCAGCATGGTCAGCTTTCTGGACTTCTGGACATTACCAACTTCCTGGAAATGATGTCATTCATAGGTGACAGAAGAAGAAAGGTTTAGGGATGAATCAGATCTGTGACTTGGTTTGAGCAGGTCATCTGTAGGTCACAGGAGTTAATCCCTGGTCCCTGCCAGCCCAGATGAATTAAAACAAAAGAAAAGAAAACAAACAAAACCACTGGGTAGCTCTTCGTTCCCCTTGCCTCCAGATATCATTGCCTGTGTAGCCATTTGGAACCAAAGCACACAGGGACGGCATCTCTTCCAGATGTTTCCAGGTCTTATCTCTTTGCCTGTAGTGAGCGAGCCTGTGGAAAATATGGTCATGGTTGGCTGGTTTCTGGGTCGGTACAGTTTAGAAGTTCACCTTCAGCATGTTGAAGCAGGAGGGTTAAATTCATAGTGCACTGGACTGCTGTATTTCCCAAATTTTACAAATTATTCCTACAAAATCCCAAATATAACCATAGGCAGAACTATGCCAAATACCCAGGTGTCCGTGGGGAAGAGAATTAGAAAGGAGGAAACGGCTTTACAGTTCTGATATATGCCGCACATTGCCGGAGATGTCTGAGGGCATACTCTGACTTCTCTGTGTGACTAGAAGTTGTGTCTTCATCCATCCACTCACACACACATCCCTCTATCCAGTCATCCGTCTATCCATCTGTCTTGTCACTCTGATAGGCCATGGGCTTTACAGACTGTAGAGAATAGATTCTTTAATTGAATGGAGCCCATTCCCTACCCTAAGGTTGTTGATAAACATTGTAAACCAAGGATTAGAGCTTGATGATATACTGATTTGGTCCAAAGGCCACCATGATCTTCTAGTTTTATTTCAGGTCAATAATTTCAGAAACAGGCGTACATATGGTATGGAGTCTGGTTGAAGGGAGAAGATAGGGAGGCTTAGTTTCACATGTGGTGAAGCATGGATTATCCAGGGTTTGCTTCACGTTGCTGTTTTAGATGGAACTGACACAAAAGTGAAATCATTGATGTTTAGCTTCACCTCAGCAGAAGCCTGCATACACACAGCACAGCCAGACCATCGCAGTGTTTTGTTTATACTGAGATAATGGGCACTGTGTTCAGGTGGGTTCCCTGAGGCATGAAATACACTGCTTATGAAATTACAGACTAAGATCTCGGTTCTTCTGTCTTTGCTCCCGTTTTTGGCTCGGGGCAGTTTTCCTGGGAAATTTTTGCAGACTGGATAGTATGGACTGAGAAGTTGAGTGAGGCCTGCACTGCCTGCCCGCGTGCTCAGGGGCTGGAGGGAGAGCCTGGAGTTGCTGGGGAGTGCTGTGGTGGAGAAGTGTGTTTGCTGTGGGTTTGCTTTCCTAGAAGGCAGTTGAAAGAGTTAGGCCACGTGGTTTCCGTAGGATCTGCTCCTTGCATTCTGTCTTTGCTTGATGATTTTCGTGTTGGGGCAGCCTTTGGCCAGCTTGAAATCTGTGCCTTTTCTTCCTCCATTTGCATTGCCAAATTGAGCCTTCTTCCTTTGAAGGCCCAGCAAACCCTGCTCTGCAGGCTGAGAAGAGGTGTGTAGATTCTAGATTGGCTGTCTTTTTTTTTTTTTTTTTTTCTTTCCCTGGGACTACCTGATATCACAAGAAATTATTCTGTTTGAACTCTCCAGCAGAGCCAATTAATTCTGGCTTCCTGGGGGAGAGCATGATGGTGGAGAGAGCGATTGCACAGGGTAGGTCCAATCCTTGAGTTGAGGCTGCCCCGACACCGCCCCCCTCCTGAGAGTCTCAGGTTGGCAGGACTGGGGTCCCACAGCGTTCTAGTTAAACAGTGGCACTGTGTTCCTTGCTTTGGCTGTTTCTACTAATGACACAGTAACATAATTAATTGGTAATTAGGATGCCTCAGAGGTCTGTTTCCCTTTGAATCAGTGACTAGAGAGAATATGATTCTAGTAAGTGCTAGCAGAGTCCTCCACAAAAGGAAAATGTGTGCAGGCGCTCTCAGGCAGTGCCGGGGTTGGATCGTTTGCAAGCACTGTGACCAGTGGCGCCATATGATTTCTGCCACGTGTCCTAGACCCAGCATTGATCAATTAGCCACACCTTTCTTCCCAGATAGAAAGAACAGACATTAGCTGTACGCAGGACTTTTTATTGTGTCTTCTGTGTATTTGTCACCAGGGTGACTATTTTTAGAATTCTTCCTGGAGGGTTGCATGCTTGATTTCTTTATTCCTCAGCACCCCACTTGCTGTGTGTTCCCAGGGGAAGCTGTGCCTGAGGATGAGCAGATCAGTGCCAAGGACCAAAAGAACCTGGAGCCCTGCGACAACACACCCGTCATAGACAACATCACCCCCGTTGTTGTCGGCATCTCTGAGGAGAAGGAGAAGTATGACGAGGAGATCTCCAGTCTGTACCGGCAGCTAGATGATAAGGTCTGTGGTTCACGGCAAGAGCTCTGTCTCTGTGGCCCCCAGAGACGCCACTCAGCCCCAGTTAAAGAGATAAGTCATGTTATCTCTCAATGGCAGAGATAAGTAAGAGGAAGATTCGATCAGAGTTACCACATCAGAGAGCAGGGGGCTGAGAAAGGTTAGGTAGCGCAAATGTTTAGGTAGACACTCCCTGAATGATTAATATGCTTATATGCAGAAGTAATCAGGTGCCTGACACCAGGTGAAGAGAGATACAAAATGAAGATAGAGATGATAGGTTTTCATCTTGCTTTTCCTTGGCTTTGTGGGGTTAGTGTTTTCTAAGAGGAGCGGTTTCTGCAGGCCTATTATATGTATTAGCCAGAGACCAACAGCCTTCACCTTGGTGCAAAGATGGAAGAAGGTGTCAGGCCGGTAAGCACAAAGCCCTCTGGAGCTGAAGTGGGGCTGCAGACAACCACAGATGCCTCGCTGCCTGATTCCTGTTCTCTAGTTTGATTGCTGTGGGAATAGAAACCTTCATGGATGTTTGATCAGAAGAACCAGGAATTGGGGGTGTGGGAGGTCCAGATAGACACCTGCTCAGTCCCAGTAGTCTGTCTGGGTAGATTGCTACCCAGGAAAGGAGGGCTGTGTGGGTGAGCATGGGTGTTTGTCGTCCCCCTCCTTTCTCTGCCTCTGCTTTTCTTGGAAAAGTCAACAGTAGCCCTGGCCTGGGACAAGGTAGGTGACTCCAAAGACTCAAGTGTGACTTCAACCACGCAGCTCTAAGATCCTGAGCTTTGCACCTAATCACACTAAAGACAATGGTTTGTCTACTGTGAAGCTGTTTTCAAAGACACATTGTTGAATGAGGGAGGCTGACCACATTAATTGGGGATGCTTAAGACAAACTTCTAGGACTCGCTTAGGCATGTAACTGCAAAGGTTAGAATAATGAAAAGACTCCTTGAACAGCATATGTCATTCATCACCAGTAAAGTTAGGAATCCCAGAGGCACAGAAACTAAGTCAACATGTCATGTGTTCCTGGCATATTGCCCATGGGCTATCCTAAGCTCTTTCAGTTCATTTCATCAAGGTTGCTGATATTGTCAGTCTGGTTTAATCTTTTCTGTGGTGGGTCAGCTCAGGTGCCATAAGGACACCTCTGGCCTGGATGTAATAGCTTTGTTCTGGCAAATCACCGTTAATCTTACAGGGCTCTGTCTTTGGGGTAAAGCCCAGAGTCTGGTGTCACCTTTGCAAGCTGATTGTGACTGGTTGCCTTGAGGACAGTTGTTTACTGTTTGTGGTTCTGGGAGTTTTATGATCCCCGAAGATTAAAGCAGAGTTATCCTGAGTTTCTGAAAACACATCTCACAAAATACCCATACCCAAGAGAACAAGGTACTTTGCCCTTCGTGTTCTGGGCATCCTCTTCTCCTTTATTCTACATGGGTATTATACTTTAGACCTCAACAGGGCAAGGGGAGATCAACAGTATGTTACTAGTTTATATGAACTTCCTGATTTATCCAAAGAACTGTTATTGCTTTCAACGGTGAAGAAAAACATGTAATCCCTCCCTTCACAGATTCCCGTATCTACAAATTTCTTGGATGGCGGGTCAGAATTGGTTCTGTGATGTTGAGAGATGTGGGAAAGAACAGAGCCCAGAGGCCATGTCTACTGTCAGCTCTGTTTGTGAGCTGCGTGATTATGTCCTATCAGCTGTCATTCTTTGTCAGTCTTTAAGTCCCCTCAAAGCCTCTAAAAGATAGCTCCATGTTTCTGGTGACTTAGGCATTTGGATGGTTTGAGAATGCGAGAGTTGGAACTTGGTGTCTTCTTGGATTACTGAATGGTAGGACTGGAAGTATCTGGACATGAAGCATTAGCCTGGGTAGTTGCATGTGTCTTTCTTAAGTTTTCCCAGCCCCTTTGGTGTTGGAGCAGGAAGGAGTTCTCATAGCCCTTGGCCTTGAGTCCCACACTCATTTCATGTTGACCTTCGTCCTTTAACCAAGGAACTGGTTATCCTTAGTGAATCTTTTTAGGACACAGTGGGAGAAAGATAACACAGTTTCTCCAAAACCCTCTGTGCTGTTCTTCATTGGGCTTAAGGACAGATACACCCCAAGGCCAGCCGCTTGATGGAAAAGCATGAGCTTTGTAGACCTGTGACTTAATGATAAGAGGCCTGGAGGAGATGCCCTGCGTGCCTGTATGCTATTCTCATCCGTAACTCAGGGCTCACAGATGTCACTTCAAAGATGGCAGTGGGGACTAAAATCTTCAATATATAACAGTATACCATAACTGCTAGGTCCCTCATTAGTCTCCTCTGTGTGTTCTCTTTGCTTGATGGAGAAGCCACATCTATGATGCCATCAAAGGAGTGTCAGTATAATGGATAGCTGGGTTATAGCATTAAAATATTTATACTGACCCCATCTCTCATTGGAGGCAGTGAATTCAAGAACTGCAAGTTGATTACATACTGTACTAATTACTGAGTAGCAAAAACATCTCCAGAATTAAAAGTTGACCATGTTATTTCATGTATAAGAAAATCCAACAACAAAATTAATTTTTGAAAAGTGCTCTGAAATCTGCTGTGTGAGCATGCTTAAACATGTTCTAAGAGATGCCCTTGCTGTGTGGAAAGCACAGCACACCTCATTCAGAAAGACTTAGAAATTAAAATGAAGTCAGAACAGACAACACTAAATCCGTAGAAAGCTGCCCTCATAAAAAGGGCAAGTCTACTTCAGGATGTGTCTTTAGTACTGATTTACTCTCCAGCAGAACCCTGTCTTCATCCTTTCCGGATAGGGCTGCGCCTCCCCTGCCCCCCGCGCTTGCCCCCCCCGCTTTTCACCCCCTTTCCATTTATCACCTGTCAGGGAGGAAGACTGTATCTCCAGGTTTGCCAAGAGTGCAGTATGAGAACGCAAGTTACTTCATCCTTCCCTCACTTGGGGGCAGGTTTCCCCCCTCCCCGAAGGAATGCTGAGATAGTGACTCCTGGGGTTGAACTTCCTGGTCTTTTATGCTAAGCTGTTTACTCTTGTTCGAAGGGGCAGAAATACAAAACTGAGCCTTGTAACCGGCATGCTAAGTGTGTGGACGTGAAGAAAAGCATGTCCCACAAAACAGTGAGCTAGCTGCCCAAGCGACAACTCCTGGCAGTTTTGCTGTGCTGCCAGAGATCTGAGTGGGGAGGAAAATCATCAATATTTTACACAGCCATTGAAGAAATGTTAGTATATAAAGTTCGGTGCCAATGCGCCTTCTCTTTTTGTTGCTGTTGGTTTTTGTTTTTTGTTTTGTTTTCCAAGACAGGGTTTCTCTGTGTAGCTCTGGTTGTCCTGGAACTCATTGTGTAGACCAGGCTGGCCTCAAACTCAGAGAGATCTGCATGCCTCTGCCTCCCTGAGTGCTGGCATTAAAGGCACCATTGCCCAACCGATGCCACCACCGCCTGGCGCAAATGGGCTTTTGGAGCAGGGGAGTGAGAGCAAGTGTGTAGGAAGGGCCAAAGACGCAGAATAAGGATGTTCAGAGCCTGCAGACCTGAGAGTTCTGGTGCTCTTTGGAAGGCACTAGCTACACCGTCCACTAACCACAAGCCAGCGCTGGCACAGACACCACCATACGTGTCTGCGGAATAGAGGTTCTGTGACACCCACCCCTCTCACCTCTCCCAAGGTGTGGGAGAGGGGTTTTTAATGAGGATAACCCTGAAGCAGGGTCTGGCACAGAGACAGTGTAATGTCCTGCCTGGACTGGCTTTGACTGCTTGGTGTGCAGCCGGAGACAGGTCAGCGAATAGCACTTTTCCTCTTAAAACTGACGGATGGGTGAGCCTCAAGCCCCACTGTCATTTTTCACAGACTGTACTTCAAATGTCACTTAAATCATGGAAACAGAGCAGTAAAGGCCGCGTGCTTCTGTGGTGGTTAGGTGTCAAGCCTGGCGCCTCTCCTTCCTTAGAGGTGGCTTCGCATTCTTGCTTTCTCAGCAGCGACACCTAATGGCAGTGAAGAGAGCTGCTGTTTTTCCCACTTGAGCAGCGGCTGGGCTTGGCATTCCTGCGTGCACACCCGGTTGGTTGCAGGGTTTGTTTGCTTGCTTGTTTTGTCTTCCAGTTGACAAGACTATTGATTGCTAATCCAGAGGGATGTCTATTGATACCAAAGAGAAAATTCCACATAAGCACTAGTTTTACTACTCTAATGGGCATGGTGTGGAAATAGTGGTCCGTCCTTCCCATCACTTGGCAGCATTCCTGGACACAGATGCGCTTGGCAGTCCAGTCTGTTAACATCTTTGTTTAGGGAAGGATGGATCTGGAGTCCCTTCAGTGCCCAAGTACCAGATCTCTGATTTCAGGATGGGCAAGATTTGGGTTCGATCTGTAGATATTACATTTCCTAGAAAGAAGGCTGGGTGAAGAAACACACTAATCAGCAAGCTCTCAGAATTGTCTCTTCCTGTACCGCCCCCTCCCCCAATCTAATGAGTGAACTTAGGACTGGCCTCCTGGTGTCTGACTCTGGAAGGGAAGCCAGGGTATGGAAACTGACATAACTAACCCAAAATTAAGCATGGTGTCTCATTTTAGGATGATGAAATTAACCAGCAGAGCCAGCTGGCTGAAAAGCTAAAGCAGCAGATGTTGGATCAGGATGAGGTAAAGTATGCAATAAATTCTTTTTCACAAAAATTTTTATTAGTTTTTCTTGTTAATGTTAGTCCTAGAAATGTAATTTGCAGACGACCTTTCCAAAACCTTAGAGCATGTGGAGATTTCTTGGTAGCTCTCTTATCAGGGCTTGCTAAAGGCTGGCTTGGCTGTGCACAGAAGACTAGCGTGTGACTCTGTAGTGCTCCGAGGCCTGCGGAGTTGCTCTATGCTATGCTTCGCCCTGGAAGGGCATCCACGTCTCTCCAGGCGATAGGGTGAGGGTGGCTCTTGCTCAGCCACACAGAGCAGCACTCTGCTGTTTTAGGATACGTCACCTCTGCATTTGAGCGGCTTCATTTACACAGAATGGGTTGGTTTCACTATGACATTTTCATACACGAGTCTAATTAACTTTGATCGTATTTACTACCCCACCCCCATTCTCCCCCCCCTCACCTCCCTCTCCTGCATTCTTTCTGCCCCCTTTTCCAAGATCACTCTCTAGAGTCCATGGAGAACAGAAAGTATGTGACATTTGTCTTCCTGCATCTGGCTAATTGTCTAAATGTGATGATGTCTCCAGTCTTTTCCTACAAATGGCATACTCTCCTATATCTTTATTACTAAATAAAATTTCATTGTGTGCATGTATCTGTCAATCATCTGCATCTATCAACCGGCCTTTCCTTTTGTCCATCCATCCATCCATCATCCATCATCCATCATCCATCCATCCATCCATCTATCCATCCATCCATCCATCCATCCATCCATTCTACCTAGACATCTATTGATGGATACCTAAGCTGCTTCTATAACCTGACTATCGCAGAAATCTGGTTTATGTTTTGGCTTAGACCATGTCCTCCCTCTGTCCCACAGGGAAAACAAAGCGGAAATCAAACGTAGACGATCAGAGGGAAAGTGAAGTGGGACCCAGTGCTGTGTTACTAAAATGTGGTCCACTAAAAAAGGAGGCCGGCTGTTCTCAGCGCCCCCTGCCGGCATTCCGCTCTACACTAAATGCCTTGATTGCACTGTTTTGCCATGGATTTTACATACAGGAACCCAAGCGGAGCACAGCCAGCCAATCTATCAAGCATAGATAATTCGAAATTCTCTTGCTGAGATCGCCTAAGTGTTTTTCTCCTTTGTGCTTTACGATGCTTTTCGCTTCATTGCTAAAGTGCTGTTGATTGGCTCCTTTCATGCAGTGACGGCAGGTGGCAGAGAGATGTCCCCATCTCAGTTCCCCCACACCCAGAAATAACTGTCCCTGTAACCATTTCCTTCCTCTTTGTTTCCCGTCATCTTTACAATGTAATGATTGTGATTTTGTCGGGAGACAATCTGTGCCTTTTGAGTCACGTGAGCGGCATTTAATAGGTTTCTCTCTCACGTGTTCTTGAAGCCACTTTTTATGTTTGCTGTTCTCTGCATGTCCAAGGAGGTACAGCTGCCTTGGATCAATTCCTTTTGTTCCAGTTCAAACCTTAACATCTTTTTTTTTTCTGCAAAGCAATACATTGCTTATTTTAGGGAAATCAGAAAATAACAGAACAAAGCTAAAGAAACTATGTACGAGCCCAGGAACTCATTTTACCACATGTCAGTGTTTGGGGTATATGTTTCTACACATCCCTAAAACACAGTGAGGAAACGTGTCTTTGTTTTCATTATTTTTTTGGTGGTTGTGAAATCAACCTATGTGCAGTATGAAATCATAGCACTGATTTCAAAAGCTCTGCCAGTGTGACTTTAGTCATTAGGAATGGTTCCCCCATCTTTTGTTAAACATGGGAAAGCCAGCCAGCTCACTCGCTACACCTTGGTGTGTGTGTGTGTGTGTGTGTGTGTGTGTGTGTGTGTGTGTGTGTGGTTCATTCTTTTTTTAGGTTTGGTAAAATATTTATTTTTCTTATATTTAGCATTTAAAAACTGGATATGTTGTGTGATTAGATGGACGTAGTTCATTCTTTGACTTAAGCACAAGAGTCTCAAGCTAAGAAGGAAAAAGAAGGAGAAAAGAGTTTTGGAATAACATTTGAAGACGTGTTTAGTGTTTGTGCCATACAGCGAGAGCCCCTGACAGTCTGAGCACTGCCAACCTGTTCTCTTGTGTGTCGTTAGGAAGCTGCTCTGTGCGAGAGGAGCATAGGCCCCTGACGCATAACTGGTGGAGTCACCGTCCCTTCTGATTTCCCCAGCTTCTAGCCTCCACAAGAAGGGACTATGAGAAGATACAGGAGGAGCTGGCACGCCTCCAGATCGAAAACGAGGCTGCCAAAGACGAAGTGAAGGAGGTCCTGCAGGCCCTGGAGGAGCTGGCTGTCAATTATGACCAGAAGTCACAGGAGGTGGAAGACAAGACCAGGGCCAACGAGCAGCTGACGGATGAGCTGGCCCAGAAAACGGTTGGACCAATAGCATGAAAGGGGCGGGACTTCCTAGTTGACAGACTTATCTAGGAAGGCGCTTGGCTGAATGCTTGTTACTGGGAGACTCACATTGTTCCCTGAGGCCTCTCTCAAAGGTCCTTTCACCACAGACTGCCTGTGACAGCTGTTGTACACCCAGGAAACTTAGAACATCAGCAAGAAGGCTTTCTGGAAATAGTTGAATGCAGATGCTAGAGGCAGGAAAAGCTCAGTGAAAAAAATGTGACCTTATGACTCTTTGACCTCAGGCAAGATGTCTAAACATCTTGAATATTAATTGCTTTATCTATCAAATTGACAACAGTTTGCTCCTTGAGTGGCGTGAGTGTTAGTGGCAGTTTGTGGTAAGCACTGAACATTGTGATACGGTAATGATGTGCAATGAATAAGACAGAGGGCATTGTTATTAAAGAGCAGTATGCATTCCATTGTTTGCATCCTAATGACTGAGACTGCTCCCCGCGATGCCAGCCTCTTGTCCCAGCTTCAGGAGGCCAGAGGTAAGCCAGTCCTGGTAACTTGCATCCAGCCTGCATGTTGCTGGGGAAAACCCAGGGAGACAGATGCTGTGGCCTTTAGGTGAGCTAGTGGCAGGCGGCAGGAGCTTTTGGCGAGGTGACTGTGCCGGGTCCTTTGTTGCCTGGAGATGGGTGGTGGAGAAGTTGCCTGGTGGCAGCCTGCTGCTGTTGGTGCCTCTGCCTAATGGCCTGGTGTCCTGGACTGTGCCAGACTTATGGAAACCTCAGTCCTGGGCACACAGAGCGGGTGGTGAGGACAGTGCTCTCCACTTCCTACCGCATGGAGGGAGAAAGGCCTTCCTAGTGGCTTTCCGGAGAAAGGACTGCTGCGTGTGTAGTGTTAAGAATGAGGTGAAACAGTTGGCAATGGCGTCCTAAATCACTGCAGACTTACGTAGGGAGGACACCTACGCTGCTTCTGCCCTGTGTTTTCCCGGGTTCCAACGGCCTGTGCTTTGTGTTTTGTGCTTCTCGAAGTAAGGCAAGATTTTCCATACTGTGCTTCTAATTTTGTGGCAAAACAACTGTTATCAGACTGCTTTCATGGTTTTTAAATAAATTGCAGTGACTAGATACACTGGGGGAACTAATTTGCGAGACTCCAGGAGTAGAAGACTTGGCTCCAGCATTGGCTGAGTTAGCAGCAAGATTCTAGAAGAGACGTAGTCCATTGCTGTGAGTTAAGAACACATTACTTCTGGTGGTAATAAACATGGAAGGTAGAAAAGAGACTGCTTTGCTGAAGTTTGGTGAGAAAACAGAGCTTTTGTTGCTTCTGAAGGAGGTCTACTATGGAGTTTGAGTAATTTTGAAAAATTTGTCTTCTCCGAGTATTAGAGATGTCTTAAGTTATTTTCTATGCTCATTAACATTTTGTCTGGGGCACTGATTCCAGACCCATTAATTAGGGTATTTGGAAGTGACCCAGGGAACAGATTTTTGTTTGAGCATGGGACTGGGAACCTTTAACTAGAAGAAGGGAATTGAAACAGCACTTGGTGAGTTAGGAAATGTGGTTAAGTCCTAGGAACATAAGGGCCTCTTTCTGCACCATTGTGTGCATGTGGCTGGAGGTCAGAGGTCAGCCTTGGGCATCATTCCTCGCTGCTGTTGGTCTTATTGTTTGAGACAGTCTCATTTTTCTGGAATTCGCAGAGTGTGCTAGCCTGGCTGGCCAGTGGGGCCGCAGGATTCCTTCCCAGCCCTGAGATAAGAAGGGTGCACCACCAGACCTAGTTTTTTGTCACATAGTTCTGGGTTATTGAACTCAGGTCCCAAGTACCTTATTGACTGAGCCTTTTATTTATCTAAAAATCCTTATTTTCACTTGTGGGTGGAGGTCAGAGGACCGTTTGCTGGAGTTAGTTCTTGCCTTTACCCGCTGCGCCGTCTTCTAGGCCCTGGATTCATTTTTAATAACTTGCTTTGCTAACATGGATTTTGTCAACTAAAACATATCAGGTCTTACGCGATAACATCTCTGTATTAAGTTCCTCTAGCAGAGAACCGAGTGCCTTCCGGGTTCTCGTGCTCTGAGATCAGAGATGATCAAAGAGCTGGGTCTGGCAGGGGCTGTTGAGCTCTGGAGGCTGCAGGTAGGAAATTGACGGGCCACGTTGGTAACCTGTGGTTGAATTTGTTTTTCCAGATGACACTGACAACCACACAGAGAGAGCTGAACCAGCTCCAGGAGCTTAGTAACCACCAGAGGAAGAGGGCCACCGAGATCCTGAACCTGCTGCTGAAGGATCTGGGGGAGATAGGCGGGATTATCGGCACCAACGACGTGAAGACGGTGAGCCAGACTTCTGTCCTCAGTGGGATTAGGGCACCCGAGCCTCGGGGTGGTCTGCGTGCGTGGCGTGCTGGGGAATAATTGAAGGCAGGAAAAGAAAAGATGGTACATGGAGTTTGGAGTGGAGGAGAGGAACAATTTGCCTTTCAGGTCTGGGGAGCATCTTCCAGTCTTGATTGGTCTCGGTGACTTGGTTTATTCCTCAGCCTAACGTGCAGTGTCCCCATATTGGGGCTCAGCTGGGGGGAATTTGGGGCCTCAGGTGTCTCCCACTCATGAATCCAATGCACTGAGAATTCTCCAGCCAAGCAGTATGGATTACGAAAGCTTCCTGCTGAAATTCATAGGCAGCTACCGGTGGCTTTAGGAGGAGAAAACCACACTTGATTTTCCGCACCAGGAGAAGCCAGGCGCCTGTTATTGGGTGTGCTCTGCATCACCTGGGGATAATTAGCGATATAGACCTACCTCAGACACACTGAAGCAGAAATTAACCTCTCGCCAGGTTCTCCAGGTGACTGTATTACAGTGAGGGAAACAAACGTTGTTTCTGTGAAGTGGCTCAAGACTACAGAGAACCCAGCCATTCTGTTTCCTCTCTGGCTGTCCTTTTTGTATCTTTAAGCTTTTGCCTCATGCAGCAAGATCACTGCCACGGCGCCAATCATCACATCTTCACCCGACTACGTCCCGGGCAGCGTGGGCTGCAATACTGACTACTTTTATCCAGGAGGGAGCTATATGCCAGAAATTCCCAGGACATGCAGCTGGCCAGATGTAGGTCACGTGGACCATTGCAAAGGAGAATAGGAGAATGGCTTTCTCCCCTGGAGTTAAGCACACCGGGTTTCCTGAGGGCCCGGAAGTGAGAGAGGCGGGGAAACAGAGGGTGGTCTAAGGTTGTCTCAGAGCTGGGACGCGAAGGAAGAGAGACAAAAAGAATGTTATGAGCCAAGCACAATGCTTGGTTGTCGTCATTGACCAGGAAAACAGGGTAGGGAATTATAAAAATAGCCTCACTGGGGTACGCATCAGACGGAGTCAGCTTCACAATTTTGAGGTGGACTGCCGTCTTCTGAGGGGGGTGGTGACACCCCAAAGCGTGCCCCTCCCCCTGAAGGCTAGTGTGGCACAGTTGTGATGAGCATAGCTTTCCAGCGACAGAGCACCTCGGATGGAGTAGGTGCCGTGGTTGTGGGTGACGCCGGGCTGAGGACTGGAGTTCCTTAACCTGCTGCCCACAGATCCTGCAAACAGAGCCCTCTGAAAAGCACTTCACGCCTTTGCTGGGCGACCCTGCAGTGTGTTGGCAATGGCCAAGCACTGGGAACCCCTGCACAATTTGGAAATCTCCTCTGGGAAACAGAAAGCCGTTGGAAGGCGCCGCAGGCCTAGGCTGAACACCTAAGGCTTTGTGCCTTGGTTGCCGCTGAGTGCTTCCTGAGTCCCTGTGAGTGTGTGCTGGCCCGCCAGGTCGGTCTGTCAGTCCCAGCCTGGCGATCCTGTTAAGTTTTAGTGCCACATGTTGGTGTTGAGCACGGCAGTTCTGATGCTGGTTAAAGGCCTCACGGGACCAGGTGCAGCTGATTTGTGGGAAGTCGGCACCTGCTGCCAAGAAGAGTGAGGGAAGGCGTTTGTAAGTTAAGTTCTAACACGGAGCTGATGAACACGCTAGTGAAATCAAAGCGTGCCTGTGCTTTGTCACTAAGGTCCTTCCTGCTGGAAGTCTGGTACTTTAAAATACTCACTGGATGTTTTGAGATTAATTTTAGATTCCAGACTTTGGATGCCCTCGTCGATTTCATTGGTGACTCTCACTTACAGATGGGGGTATTAGATGGTCTTGATCTATGCTGGACCAGTGACAAGGGCTGCAGGTGTTTCCCACTCAGAGGGACGGAACGAGGAGCGCTGTTGGAAGGCAAATCTCAGGCGGTCGCAAGCCCAGCAAGGGCCTCCGTGAAGGGGAGTCAGGCCGACAGCTGTAGCTTTTCTCCGCTTTAGCTTGGTGTTGTGTGGGAGTCACTGTTAAGCACTGTTGAATTCTTACAAGTTAAAATCCCAGTGCCGACAAGCAGAGCTATGGACTTTCTATCTGCTACCAATTTTCAGGGCTCATACTCAACCCCATCTAAATCTTAGCTCTCAAATGAATACATGGGAAAAAAATGACTAGTTAATGACGGCAGTAATGACATGAGGAGGTGGGAGGGGCAGTGAGAGGACACCATGGAACATTAGAACCTAGAATGAGAAGCTTTGCCTTCAGCAGACGCTGGCCCTTGGCCTGGAGGCTGCTGGGACAAGAGTCTTCCTAAGTGCAAGGCTGCCCTCTGGTGGCCAAATATTGTACACACCAAGCTACTTTCTCCATGGTGTACCCCTGCATCTCCGTCTATCCCAAATACCTTGTTTCTGTTTTTTTTTTTTTTTTTTTTTTTTGGTTTCCAGTGGAGCTCTAAAACTTAGAAACCAGGTATAGCTCATTCAGGAACTCCATCAGAGTCATCACATTTTAATGTAAACTTAGGCTTGTTCATTAGTTATCTTAAGAAGCAGGTCTGCTTGGAAGGGCAGGTACGAAAGGCAAAGAAAAAGAGATTGGTAGCAACAGAGAGCCACAGGGGAGCCTTCACTACGAGGAATGGATGGTGCATCCAGGCATTAGAAGTTTTGTTTGGAGACTATGGAAAAGTCTTTTCTAGTTCAGCTATTGCACATACAGACATTGGGCTTCCTGACCACTGTGGAGGTTGTGGAGATTCTGGGCTGAGATTCTCTACAGGTAGGGTTAAGGGCCCCTATAGGGACACCATTGCAGTCATGGCAGGGCAAAGCTTCTGAGAAGTTTTCTCCTTTAAGAAATTCTTCAGTCGTTTTTTTCTTCCTGGGTCATCTCGTCTATCCTCAAATCAATGAAAATGAAATGCACGCTTAACTGAGCAGCATGTTGGATTGTGGTTTCTGCTGGGAACTTTCCCTGAGGACTTGACACGCACTTGGAAGTGTTTATTTTCAACTTTCCCTAAATTAGACTTTTGCGAAAAAGCTAGGGCCGTCTCAAGGACCCATGGTCAGGTGTCAAGGGATCCTCGGTCCTCTGACGTTTCTCTCTCTGCTTAGCTGGCAGATGTCAATGGAGTCATTGAAGAGGAGTTCACCATGGCGCGCCTGTACATTAGCAAGATGAAGTCGGAGGTCAAGTCCCTTGTGAACCGCAGCAAGCAGCTGGAGAGCGCCCAGATGGACTCCAACCGAAAGATGAACGCCAGCGAGCGGGAGCTGGCAGCTTGCCAGCTGCTGATCTCCCAGGTGGGCTGTCCATCCCATCCTCTTCACTCTCCTCTGTTGAGATCCGTCCCCTTCTTGGGATATGTGTTCTAGGGTGAGTCGAGACACTCAGTCTACGTGAGTGTGGCTCAGGTTATACACCCATGCCTTTTTGTCTTTTTGAGAGAAAAACATCACCTTGTAGCCCAGAGTGGCCTTGAATTCATTATCCTCCTGTCTCAGATGCACTCTCTCACCCCCTTGTTGACTGACTGTGGGTGGTCGGGGTGTGCATTACCAAGCCTCATCTCTCCGGGCTTATCCTTAAGGATAGATTTTGTTGTGTAAATTACACAAATCAAGGCTTTCCTGTCTTTAAAGGGTCTGTCTGTATTTCTCTGCTGGCCCATAGATGACTACATAGCTGGGTATATATAATGTATCTCTTAGTCACCTATTAGTTAAGACAACATTCCTACATCTGTAAACCTGCTATGGGGACAAGGTGTGTGAATAGAAACTGTTGTCAATGGTGGTGACAGGAACCGTTTCATTGTTTATCACATGCACACATGGCACTCAAAATTGTTTGCGTTTTCTTGCTTGATCTTTAAGAAAATTCCATAGGCAGAATTTATTCTTGTTCTGACACCATTATGTAAAGGGAAACCTTTTCCTTGAGAGAAAGCCTTCCCGCCAGCCTGGTTCTAGAGCCGCATCAGTCCCAAATAAACACACAGGAGGCTATATTAATTATGAAGCTGTTGGCCTTGCTTGTTTCTTACTGGCTAGCTCTGACTTAAGTAATTACCCTATAATTGTTAATCTAAGTATGTTTCTTACCAGAGAATAGTTCCGGGCTTCCTACCCCATGGCGTTACATCTCGACTCTCTGTGTTTCTCCTTCCCAGAGTCCTCCTGGACTCCTAGTCCCACCTATCTAATTTCCCTATTGGCCAGCAGTGCTTTATTGACAAATGCACAGGACTTCCCCCCAACATTTTTGTTTTTTTTTCTAAATAGAGGTGTGATTGTGATTAAGTATATTGCCCAAATCCATAGTGGCAGAACTGGACATAAACCAAAACTTGTGTCTTGGTTCCTCACGCCCAGGGCATGTGTCTTTGGCCCGTTAGCTAGCCTGCTCTTTTCCCATTGGGATGGTGTTTTCATCTCAGGAAGATAGTTCAGAGGACCGTGGAGCAGCTCTGGGCTACACTGATGTGTAAGCTTACTGTTTGGGTTTGAGATTTCTGAGATGGTACCAGGGTATGCTGCTCACTGCCGTGTGACAGTCATTTGAGGAAGCAGGGACAAGTGTGGCCTAGAATGTCTAACAGTACCAAGAGACAGGCAAAAGAACACCATATAGCTTTGAATCCACACAGTAATAAAACAACTCCAATCTAATTATCTAAAATGGGATCTGCGGTTGGTTTTATACTAAGGAAAATAATATTTAAAGGGTTATTCAGTGCTGATATGTGATAGAAAGTTGATAAACACAATGAAATACAATTTAGTAATCCTTTTGAAAAACACTTGGGAAAAGCAAAACCAAAAAAAAAAAAAACCATGTAAGTATTTGAATGTATTTGTGTGTGTGTGTGTGTGTGTGTGTGTCTGTCCTCACATGTATGCATACGTGTGGAGGCCGAAGGTTGACTTTGAGTACCTTCCTATATTTCTTTCTTCTCTGTGTTTTGAGACAGGATGTCTTAGTGGTACTGAACTTTGTATTTTGGCTAGACTGGCTGGCCAACAATCCCCGTGACCAACCTATCTTTGCCCACCCTCAGTTCTGGGGTGTAGGCAGATGCCACCACTCTCAGCTTTTATATGGCTTCTGGGTATCCAGATGTAGGTCCTTGTTCTTATAGAGAAGGCGCTTCTGCTCTCCGTGCCATCTCCCTAGCCTGGAAGTGTCTTTTGGTCCAGTAATTATATGTATTCTGTTTTTCATTGGTAATGGAGATTCAATTTTTAAAGTTGAGATGGTATTATAATTTCCTGATTAAAATATTAAAAGTTTATGTGGAAACTGTTGAATGGACTATTATTTTACATTATCATAAAATATATTACTCAAATACCTGTTGATAGACAAATGATGATGTAGATGAATATTATGTAGAATTTATACAAGTCCATAAAACGTGGGCATTTTTTTTTTTTTTTGGTTTTTCGAGACAGGGTTTCTCTGTGGCTTTGAAGGCTGTCCTGGAACTCACTTTGTAGACCAGGCTGGCCTCGAACTCACAGAGATCCGCCTGCCTCTGCCTCCCAAGTGCTGGAATTAAAACTTGGGCATTTGAAAAGTATAATTATATAAAATTAGGTTAAAATGAAAATATCAAGTTATATCTATGCCATTTTATATCTTTGTAAAATATGCCTTAATTTGTAAGGTAGTTTGTAGGTGAAATTCATACTGCATTTTTATAGATTTGCTGTGTATTTTATGACTATATTGTCATTAGCAATAAGAACATTTTATTTGCAGCAAGACATTTTTATAATTTACAAAAATCGAGAGAAAAAGATAAACAGTAGAGAAAGGTACAACTTAACTGTAGTTTCTAGGTTACCTTTGAGACCATGGCTTGAACCTGGGGGTGCTTCTACTCCAACAGTTGTGGGCTGAAGTCAACCATCAGCAGTGTCCATGGCCAACAGCCCAGCGCTCTCTGTGTCCAGCTGGACAAAGTGGCCCCATGTCCAAATCCCTTCCATACCCTGCATATGGCTCCAACTACTCAGACCGGGTCAGCTGTGCCCTGCCTGAGGGAGGGAGGGAGGGAGGGAGGGACGGACGGACGGACGGACAGACGGACGGACGGACGATGCAGCCTGCAGAGCCCCTGGGCAAGGGCACCACTCAGCCTGCAGTGCTCAGAGTGTGCCCTAGACAGATGTAGGCTAGGAGCTCTGCTCATTGGAGCGAGTACAGTCGGAGGAAGGCTGAAGAGCACTCACTGTCACCGGTGGGGTTCCAGCATCAGAGTGACACTGATTGGAATATGAGAGTTGGGAAAATTTTAAAGTTAGGAAAATCTTCCTATGTCAGCAGTGAGGGCGGCTTCCCACGGGGCTTTTGTATTCTGCTGTGATGTCCAGAAAGCCATCGATTCACTCATTGTTTCCAAGAGATTTAATACTGACAGAACCATGGCTCTCCATGTTCTGGTGTGGTTTCAGGAGTCTAACAGTATTTCTTGCTGAAATTCTTTCTTCTTTGGTTAAACCTTCCCCCAAAGCTGTTCTTATATGTGTGTCCATGGAGTTGCAGAGGCGTTGCGTCATCACCCGTCATTCTGCAGGGTCTTCCTGCTTATACACGAACCCTGATTCCAGAAGGGGACAGTCTGTGTCTTCCGTGTCTGTCTGGAAGCCACAGTTATTCCTGTCCAGTCACTGAGCTCACATCCATTTACTGACTCCTTCTACTGGTGTTCATTAAGTATCTACTCTATACCCTCGTGGGGAAAAAAAAAGTAACATCACATAGAAGCAAGAGCTGTGAGAAAATGCTGAGGTCTGATAGGGAGCCAGCAGGACATTTTTGTGTGTGTGTGTGTGTGTGTGTGTGTGTGTGTGTGTGTGTGTGTGTGTGTCTGAAGGGTTCTGGCAGAGAGGGAACTCTCCAGACAGAGGAACCCTAAGATGCAAGTCCACTAATGAGCAGAGTTGGTGCCCTATGTCTGAAGGATACAAGAAAAGCAAATGTGCTGTTTGAATCCGCAGGTGCGTGTCCAAAGACAGACAGAGGCCTTCAGCCCTGGATGGTTCCTAGTTCCCTCTCCCATCCTCCTCCTGCTCCTTACGGTGCTGGGCACTGAATCCAGGCCACTGCTCCTGCTAGGCGGGTGTTCCTCTACCAAGCGACAGCAGTAGCTATTCGGTTTTTACCATGAGGAAGGGTGGGCTTTGGGCTCCACATGAAGTGGAAAGCTCAAGAGACATGGTACGTGGTGTGTGTGGGGACATAAGCGACAGAGTACACGGCAAACACAGAACCACTTCTGTCCTCAGTGGCGAAGCCTAGGCAAAGAACGAAATAGGAGCCATTCCATGGTGAGGTCTCTGAGTTGTGGTTTCCTACTGGACAGCTCCAGACAAGGCTGGGCAAGCAGATACTCGCCACTCACATTTCCTCCCCTCTGTTTTCTTGCTGAAAGCATGAAGCCAAGATCAAGTCTCTCACAGACTACATGCAGAACATGGAGCAGAAGAGGAGACAGTTGGAAGAGTCCCAGGACTCACTCAGCGAAGAGCTGGCCAAGCTCCGAGCCCAAGGTAAGCAGTGACTACTTTGGCGGTGTCAGACGCTTGGCCCAAGTCAGTCTCCGTTTGGCCAAGTCTTGATGTTTAGTTCAGTACAGCATGTCTGTGTCTGCTGGGAACCCCAGTGTAACAGAAAGGAGAGATCTATGCTAGCCCCACTGTATCTGCTGCCTTCCAGCTTCCCTCTGTCCACCCAGCTGCCTGGACCAGCATCCCCCTCTCCCACCCATGTGGCCTCTAGTCACTCACAAAAGCTTGTCCCTTTCGCTTGTCAGATGCCCCCAGTCTGCTCATTGCTGTTATGATTGCCTTGTGCAACCTGGTTAGGGATTGTGGCTAAGTTGATATGCTGAGTGGTGTCACCTCCGGGCATCTCTGGACTGGCCACCTGCTGTACCCCAGGGGGGGATTGTCTTATGTCAGACCCTTCCATGGAGTTCTGCACTTGCACTGTGGCTAAATTGGGAAGCTCAGCTATTGAACAAGCCCTTCCCTTAGCTGTGTGGTGTCTGATGCACAGGAAATGCTTAATAGCATTGAGTAAGTAGAAGCAAACATTTAAGAGTGGCAATCAGAAACGCAGAAGCCAGAACAAGATTAAGAACTTGGCAATGTGCAGCAGGGGACCAACCATACATAGTAAAGGCTGACATGAAAAAAATTTTATAGAGCAATTTGAATAACCATAACAGTTCTTTGTAACATTTGATCTTCAAATTTTAACTATATTTTAAAATACTTATTGTGCGTGTGCACATGTGTGAGTGTGCTCATGCACATGCCTGCACTTGTGCATGTGTGTGTGTGTGTGTGTGCACTCACACATGTGGCTGAGCAGGGCAGAAGAGGTTGTAGGTAGAATTATAGGCATTTGTGAGCCACTTGGTGTAGGTGCCGAGCTGTTCTGGAGGAACAGTAAGTGCTCTTAACTACTGAGCCATCTCTCCAGCCCCTCATCACAGAACTTTAGATCAGAAAAGCATACACAAGAATGCAGGGAAGAAGAGAAGAGAAAACCATCCAAAATATCTAACAGTTTGGTAGACTTTAATAGACTATCATTGGGGATATTAGAATTCACACCGGAGACAAAACATGCATGTGTATTGCAGTGATTTATGATGCAGTGTTAGGTTAAAACCTTTATTACAGCTATTAAAAATAAATGGACCCTTGTGGTCTTAGAAATTAATATTTAAAGTGAAAATATTTTGATAAGTAACAGGATTGATGGTGTTATTATTTATTTCTTTAATTTTTATGTAAAGCTATTCACTGGATAAATACATGCTACTTCAGGTTCAAAGGCAAATTAAGAAAGAGCCCTGCCATAGCTTTGTAACAATTTATTTTAGTGGTAAGGAATGAATGTTGAGAATAGAGTACGCCACCTAGCACTGGATAAAGAAAAGCATTTTCCCCTCTTGCATGTGTGTTCCTGCAGTGGAAAGAAATACAAACAGGGAGAAAGCCTGAAATAAGGTAAAACAGACTAGAGATATAATGAGTTAGATGTCAGTGTCCAAATGACATTTGCTCCCTGCCCCCCCCAGTTCCTCAGCTCAGGGAGCCCCACTGAGCAGGCAGGCACAGAGACAGGCATGCTGGCAGCAGCCCCGCCCACCTGGGGCCTCCTGGTGAATCCGGAAAGTGTTGGAATATATTTCTGTTTCCCTGGTTTTCATCTTTAGCTTGTTTTCGTGCTTCAGATCCTTAGAAAATCAACAGTTACTCCTGGGAGGTTAATGAGCTCCTTGTGGAATTCTACCAGTGACATGAATCCAGATGTCACCACACACTCACAAGAGCTTTATAATCTGCAAGACTTGATCATGTCCTCATGCCCCCACCCTCGGGGCCCACTCCCAGAGGCCAGGTGGAAGCAGTTCTGGGGCTGCCTGCTTCCAATTACCCACCTTCCTTTCCCTGGCTGCTCTCTGCTAGGGAGACCTCAGTCCACCTGAGGTCCCAAGTGACCTAAGTACCAGCACAGGCCACAGGAGAGGTCAGTCTGGGCACTTGGGGTGCTTGGTCAGGAGGCCGTCCCTGGTGCTGCTCCGGTACAAGCAGGCTGATGTTTTCACTGCGTCATCATTGCTTTGTTTTCCGGGTTTTTGCCAGTTAAGACTGAAGTCATTTTTACAATTTGATACAGAAAAAATGCATGAAGTCAGCTTCCAGGATAAAGAGAAGGAACACCTGACAAGGCTCCAGGATGCTGAGGAGATGAAGGTATGTGTGGATTTGAGGTGCGCACATCTGGAAACATCAGTCCTCTCAGACCTGTGCATGTGAGTGTGAGACAGAGAGGAGAGGAATCATGACTGGGCCTCCAGAGCAGCTCTCCTGGGGCCTCATGGAGTCACAAAGTGATGATGGGACTGCCCAGGAAGCCAGTCACATGTGTTGATACAGTCGCGTTGCCTTGATGCCTGTGTGCCCTCTTCCTGATGAAGCAGGTATAAGGGGAGCAGAGCAGTGACCACACGGGCCATGTGACCCAGCCCCTACAAAGAAGGTCTTCACACCCAAGTTTCCCAAAATGCAGATCTTCATGGTCACGTTTAAATCAAGAATGGAAAATGTAGAAAAAATAACTGGGGAATAAGACTTCCCAAAAGTGAATAAAAGGAGCTGGAACACACAGGAACCTCACTGAGCAGAAGCTCGCAGCTGATAGTCTGCTGCACAGCCCGGCCTTGCTTTGGTGGCTTGCTCTCATGCTTTTGGAAGTCTATGGCGGGTTGGACAGAGAGAGGGGCCTGGCCCTCAACACAGCAGGTGAGGAAGTGTTCTTACAGGGGTTAAGTGATGTGTCTGAGGCCTCTCAGGTAGCAAGGGAGCTGTGTTCTGACTGGCCTGACTGGGCAAACCTTCAGAAGAGGGAAGGCAAAGACAAACTTCTGTGTGGTTGTTGGGCTGGTTTGCCTCCAAGGCCCACTCAGTTTTGTGACAGATCTGTGGGCTTTGCTGTGCAGATGAAGCCAGGCCAGGAGCCTGGGCAAAAAGCTCCCTTAATTTTTGGATTTAACATCTGAGGGAGGTAGGCATGGTTCGGGGGCTTGTCACCGAGTGGGCAGAGTGCCAACGAATTGATGTGACATTTCTCCCGGCCTGGCTTGCAGAAGGCTCTGGAACAGCAGATGGAGAGTCACCGGGAAGCTCACCAGAAGCAGCTGTCCAGACTTCGTGATGAAATCGAGGAGAAGCAGAAAATCATTGATGAGATTCGGGAGTGAGTTGGCGAGGGGCTCACGGGAACATGGGTGGGCATGCTCAGGCCTTGTGAGCCAGACTTAAAGGACAAGCCTCTTAGCCAGGGCCCTCCGTCTCCTTGTGCTTGGTCTCTGTGCTCTGCCTGGGTGGTGCTGCCCCTGAGATCTGTTCTCCCATCTGGAACCCAGACTCCTGGGGCTCCGGTATAGCAGGTGGCAGGCAGACCTGGCCACCCCTCAGCATCACACCAACCTGGTGACTCAGGTTGGGAGATACATGTCGAGGAGCCAGAGAGGTTATATGAAAGTATGAAAAAGAAAAGACTCTTCTTCCCGGAATTAATACACACTCCAGAGAAGCCATGTGGCATTGCTGCCCCTTCAGCTCAACAAATCACGCACCTGTAGCTACCTGCTTGCCTGTGTACACACCGCAGAGACCTGTGCAGTGTGTCCGTGCAAGGTGGATGCCAGGATAACATGGCGTTGCTACCAGGATGGCTCTATTGAGGCTCAGCTCCAGATGCTGCCTCACGGCCACATCCTGCCTTCTCAGAGTCTCTGGGGTTACCCGCTGCTCCACGGCACCCTCTCCTTTTCTGCAGCACAAGTCCCCCAGCTGCAAAGTTCCCTTCTGAGGGATGTCATTCTTGGGGCTCTTTGTATAGTAGATCTCCTTGGTGGTCTTTGCACCCTCTTGCAGAACAGCCCTTTAACGGTTGCCTCCAAAAGGCATACTCTTAAAAAGAAAACAGGTCTACTTGTCCGCTGTAATAAAATTTCACTCACCGCCCCTCCCCCCACACTGGCTCAAGGCCCCCTCCCCTCCTCCCCGCCACCACCAGCACCATCACTTTCTGTAGATGAAGAATTAGATATGAGAAACAAGGTTGAATTATTTACTTAAGGTCACACCGCTAAACAGGAATCAGACTGGAGCTAAGCGTTTAATTCTCCAGGCTACTGATCCAAATCTTCTCCGAGTATGTGAGCTGCTTGCTAGTGCATTTGCATGCGGAGGGGGAAGGGGCGGTGGAGGGGGAGTCTAGGTGGGGTGCTGACTCTGTGCAGTCTGCCCAAGGACAGGCCTTGGCATGTCCTCTCCCCCTCCTTCTGCCCCTGCCCCATCTGATCACACCTCGAGCTTCCCCGGACATGATCCTGATCAATCTCCCTCAAAACGTTGTGCTGGGAGAGAGGAAAGATTGGAAGGGAGACAGAGAAGGCCAGTGAGCAAATCCCTGCCTGGGAGCTTCCTGGGCTCGGGCTCTGGGTGCTTCTGGCTTCCTCCACACAGTCCTGTGATCTCAGCCCCACACACAGCCTGGTTTGTGAGCTCTGACGTGGTACGGAAGGGCACCAGACGCTCCTGTCTTAGCGTTTCTGTTGCCGTGATTAAACACTATGACTGTAAGCAACCTGGGGAGGAAAGGGTTATTTCAGCTTCCGCTTTACAGTGCATCATCCAGGGAAGTCAGGGCACTTTCTTTTCCTTCCTTCCTTCCTTCCTTCCTTCCTTCCTTCCTTCCTTCCTTCCTTCCTTCCTTCTTCCTTCCTGCCTCCCTCCTTCCTTCCTTCCTTCCTTCTTCCTTCCTGCCTCCCTCCTTCCTTCCTTCCTTCCTTTTAGTTTTGTTTTTTGAGACAGGGTTTCTCTGTATATCCCTGGAAGTCCTAGTACTTGCTTTGCAGACCAGACGGCCTTGAACTTACAGAGATTCTCCTGCCTCTGCCTCCCAAGTACTGGGACCATGAGTGCATCACCACTGCCCAGCTCAGCCTGCTTTCTTATAGCAGCCAGGACCACTAGCCCAGGGGCGGTACCAGCCCTCCCCTGTGAGCTGGTGCCTCCCACATCAACCATCAGTTACAAACAAACAACAACAAAAAACAAAACAAAACAAAACAAAACAAAAAAACCCCAGGCAGATCTTCTAGAGTTCGTTCCTCAATTGAGAGTCCCTCTTTTCAAATGACTTTAGGTCATTTCATGTTGACATAAATCTGACCAGTGCAGTCCCCAACCAGATGATAATTTTCTGTCTGTATAAAGCCCAAGTAGTGCTCTTCATAGTGCCTGTCCCAACATCCCACAGGCCTGGGGCTGCCCCCATAGCAGCTGCTGTCCTTGGAAGACAGCTTCAGATGGGGGACAAGGAGCTTGAAATAGTCAATGAGTTACCTGAATAAACAAACAACTGCCCTCTAGGTGATTACAGGGGCCCCCTCTCTCTCTCTCTCTCTCTCTCTCTCTCTCTCTCTCTCTCTCTCTCTCTCTCTCTCTCTCTCTCTCGCTCTCTCTCTCTCTCGCTCTCTCTCTCTCTCCCTCTTTCTCCCCCTCTCTCTCCCTTCCTCCCTTTCCCTCTCTCCCTCCCTCCTTCACTTCCTCTCTCTCTCTTTCTCTCTCTCTCCCTCCTTCCCTCCCTCCCTCTCTCTCCCCCTTTCTCTCCCTTCTTCCCTTTCCCTCTCTCCCTCCCTCCCTCACTTCCTCTCTCTCTCTCTCTCTCTCTCAATCTCTCCAAGTATCACCCATTTCCCAATGTCATTATTTCCCCCACAGAAACTCTTGCACTTAAACTATAAATACACCCTCAAAGCCTTTGTTTTATTTCATGCTTCCTAGCTGCTCCCCAGAAATTTGTTTTCACTTGGGCAGAGAAGAAGCTGTGAGCTTGTTCTCTGATCCCCCCTGAAATCCTCCCGAATTGCTGCCTTTATTTCACGGAAATAATGGGGCTGGAACAGACCCAGGGCTTTAGGCGGATGACTCAGAAGTTCAGGCTGATCTGGAATATATTGCTTTTTCCTTTCAATTTCAGCTTGAACCAGAAACTGCAACTGGAGCAGGAGAGGCTGAGCTCTGATTATAACAAGCTGAAAATAGAGGACCAGGAGAGAGAAGTAAAACTGGAGAAGCTCCTGTGAGTGCCACAGCATCCCTGCTTCCCATCTCCCGAGAAACGGCCTTCGTGCTGGAGGCCCGATTGGTTTAAAACAGCATGGGCTTTGTCTGGTCTGTGGTTAGCCTTGTTTATTTGCCTCAGGTGCAAACTGCATCTGCACCATTCCTGTTCTCCCTTGGTGACTCATGGTTCCTTTCTGACTCTCAGGTTGCTCAATGATAAAAGGGACCAAGCCAGGGAGGACCTCAAGGGGCTGGAGGAGACTGTGGTGAGTCAGTGTCCAATTCAGTTCACCCTCAGAGGCCTGATTTATGTGTGATCTATTGAATTATTTGTTTTAAAATTTTGTCTATGTGCCCCTTTCCTGTATAGCATTTAGACACAAAGCATTCTGTGACACACTGGCATTTGTAGAATTACTTTTTTGTTTTGTTTTTCGAGACAGGGTTTCTCTGTATTGTTTTGGAGCCTGGCCTGGAACTAGCTCTGTAGACCAGACTGGCCTCGAACTCACAGAGATCCGCCTACCTCTGCCTCCCGAGTGCTGGGATTAAAAGCGTGCGCCACCAACACCCGGCCTTGTAGAATTACTTTTAAGAGAATTAGTCCATCAATTGATTAGTCAGTCGGTCCTTAGTGCTGTAATCCTGAAATACTCGAATGAGAACTGAGTGCCATTGTAAACCGCCTTGGCACTTTGTGACTACGCTAAACTTTCAGCAGATATATAGCAAGCACCTACGGAGGCTGGCACTTGGCTAGATACTTAGATGTATCAGTTTATAGTGTAGGGAAGCCTTGCCTTCATAAGTTGACCCTGACAAAGGGAGCTGAGGGGGAAAAACATTCTGGAAGCAATAACCTGTGGCATGTGGAGGTAACAGGGACACCAGCGTGTGTCTGGACGAAGGAGGGTAGAAGACAGGCCCAAAGGACGATGCTGGAACAGGTGCCTTGGAGGAGGGCCAGAAACACAAGTAGACACCGCTTGCCTCTGGGAGGGCTCTGTATCTGAAATCGCCGTTGGGTTCCTCTGTGCTGTGCCCACAGCCATTGGCTTCCCCTGCCAGCTTTGGTTTCAGGGCCCATGCAGGTAGCAGCTGGGTCACACCTCACAGCTGTGGCTTATCACATCCACTCGAACTTCAGCGCAGTTGGGTGAAAATGTGTTTAGGCTTGCACATGTTTAAATTCAGGGCCACCGTCTGAGCCCACTCATGTGTCATGTGCGTTTATGTGGGACAGAGCCCATCCCCACCAACCCGGAGACTCAGACTGTAGGCAGATGGCTACTCCCATCTGGAGCCGAGGCCGCGTGCTGACTCCTGGGCCAGGACAAACTGCTCCTCAGAGGAATGAGGACACAAGCCTTGGGGACTGAGGTCAAACGCCTGTGCTGACAGGAAGTTGGACCTTTCAGAGGTGAAGTCTATGGGGCTGGCAGCCACAGAGCCATGCTTGTTTCATGCTTAATAGAGCACCGCAGCCTGTAACTGAATGTACTCAGAGAACTGCGGGAGAATTTTGAACATTGAAATTTCACTAGATTCCTGCCCCCCACAGGGTTGTGTGAAACTCCGGGATGTTCTCTACTTGTTCCTCCGTGGGTCCCCTATACCCGCGTGCCCTTGCTTGCCTTCCGCGACTCTGCCGTCCTCACACCCAGCTTGCACATGCATTTGCACGTACAGATTGTCGGGTGTACTGCACACCCAACATTCATGATGTCTTCTGGGCGTGGCCACATGCCCCGATTGTCCATGTGATGCTCATATATATTCCCACACACTCACACACATCTGCATCTCACTAATGCTTTTTCTCATTCAAACACACTTTGCTCATTTACATACTTTAAACTCACACTGGCCTTTTCTCCTGCTTCCCCTCGGCACCTACGGACCAGTATGCACAAATGCTCAGTAGACTGGGACATACCCACACGCCATCCCAGTCACAGCTCACTCTCATGCTGGCTCATGCAAGTCACTGTCATGGCCCCCACCACACACTCCCTCTCTTTCCCCCACTCACATGCAGACTTATTCTCACACTCACATGCTCTCTTGTTCCTATCCCTGGGAACATGGTAAAGGATTAGTAGCCAGTCCCTTTGCCTTCTTGGGTGTTCAGATATGTATTAAATGGCATGTTTTCTCAGTAGCCTCTATTATCTCCTCAATCACTCTCTCTCCTTCCCTCCCACAAGCTCATTTCCTTAATAATCTGGCTGCGCCTACACACGCTCACTCGCTAAGGCTGCCCTCCATTTACACACACATCCTTCCCACACACAGACAGACCCAGTAACACGGTGGTTCCTTTTCCTCTTCCTCTTTCCCTCACCACCTCCACACCCCCTTCCTTAAATCCAGGACTAGATTCCAGCAGCACTGCTGTTTGAATGTTTGTCCTCCACTTTGGAGTCTTCCCAAGCTGAGCTGTAAATAGTCTTCAAAGACAGGTCTTGCTGTCCTTGGCTGTCATTCGGTTTTCAAGACTCCCCCCCCCCCCAAGCCTGCCCTGCCTCCTGAATGTTGTGGGGAGGGATAGGTGATGTCTGCATATTGCACTCTGGGAATCTCACTGCAGACTGACCATGCATGAGGTTCTTTGGCTTGAGACAGTACGTTGACCCCTCTCTCTAGATCTCACTTCCTGCGATACCGACCACCACTCTCGTTCTGGCCTCATCGTCCACCACGATAGGAAGCTTAGCCTCAAGCTCTTGCATGGAGTGTGGAAGCTCATGATGGGAAGAGAACCGAGGGAGGCTGGAGGGTGGAGAAATAAGTATGGATGTGATGGAGGAAAGACCATTGCTGCAGGAAGCCAAGTGACAGCTGCCTAAGCATCACTGTACAGCAGTGCAAACCACCCTAAATGCCTTTGATGGTCTCTGCAAAACTGCTAGAAATGAGAGGAAGGGGCCATCTCAGGATTCTTAGGTGGTATTTGTGTCCCAAGGAAAGGTGTGACTTTTGGGCAGAGTGTCAAACCTTGCCTCCCTCTGGTGCTGTGGTGTTCTTCACCAGAAAATATTAACCGTGGTCGCAGTGTAGGCAGAGATAAGAGATCTGAGGTGGAGGGACAGCATGCAGGGCCTTTGTAGACATTAAGGGACGCAGGGACTGAGCTCCTTCTGCAGGGGTGGAGGGCAGCCTGGATCATGGTGAGCAGTGCACTGTGCCCCTGTTCCTGTGCTGTGAGGCAGCTTACTCGCAGATGGTACTGTGTATCACATTATTCATAATACCGGACCTGTTTGGCTTCCTGCAGAAAGCAATTTACCTCATCCAAGGATGCAATTGACTTCAGGTGCTTCTTATTTCAACACTAAATTGGACCTAATAATAAGGCCTTAAATTGACAGAATCGTATTTCAAGAAATTGTGTTTCCTTAACTCTGGGTCCTGTTCCTACATTTTTAATTCGAGCATTCATCCCGACATCCTGTCGATTTATATAGATAAAAGCTTTTAGAAGATTCTTTATCTACTTCTCACTTATAAGGAAATAATTTACACGAAACTAGCATCTCTTGTAGAGAACATATGAAGAACCGGGTTGGAAAGATGGCTCAGTAGTTACAAGCACTTAATGCTTTTGTAGAGGACCCGAGTTCAGTTCCCAGCATCCATGTAAGACAGCTCATAATCACCTATAATCTCAGCTCCAGAGGATCCAATGCTCTCTTCTCAAATATTTCATCACTTTGTTCTTATACATGTGTATATGTGTGAGCATGCATTCACACACACACACACACAGACACCCACACAACCTTGAAGAGGATAGATGAGGTAGTAGTGCACAATATTAAGGTGAGCATTTGAGAGACAGAGGCAGTGGAATCTATGAGTTTGAGGCTGTCCTGGTCTAGTTAATGAATTCAAGGCCAACCAGAGCTACAGAAATGTAGACCCTTACTAATATATATGATATATATTACACACACACACACACACACAATAATAAGACTTGAATAAAAGGAAGTGTTTTGATTTTCTGTCTTTGTTATGAAATATTCCCAGGTTAGGTTCAGGGCCCTTGTCTCATCATTTATATTGTTAGGTGCTCATTCATAGAAAATAATCCAAACTGAAGGAGGAAATTGCTAGCTCTTGGGCTATGAACTCACTGTGGTCCAGAAACCTTCCTAAAGGCTTTCTAGATCTTCTTTTTTAGTCTTAACACCAGTGAGTCAAATTCTCTTCATCTTCACATTAAAAATGAGAAAACACACAAAGTTCAGGTGTTTGCCTAGGGCCACCAGATGGAGAGTCTGAGAATTGCCTCATCCATGAACTGCTGATATGAGGCAAACATACTTGGGGATTGGGCCCATAGTGGCACAGAATCATGGGAATGCCAGTAGTAGGTGCAGAATCATGGGAAATGCCAGGAGTGGGTGCAGAATCATGGGAAATGCCAGTAGTGGGCACAGAATCATGGGGAATGCCAGTAGTGGGTGCAGAATCATGGGAAATGCCAGGAGTGGGTGCAGAATTATGGGAAATGCCAGCCAGTTTGGGTGAGAGGAGTCATGGTGACCCTTTAATTTAGCTTGTTGGTATAATGTGTTATATTTATGTGGGAAGTAAACAAAAACAAAAGCAGATTCCCCCCATTCTTGCAGGTAGTTTACTAGGAATTTTTGTTTGGTTCCCTTGAGAGCAGAGGAGAGGAGCTGGCTTACAGGCAGTAGTTGGAGTTCCCAGGATCCTGCACCATGCATGTGCTCCTGACAGCAGTGTAGGTTGAAGAATAGGCAAGGCACAGGCAGTACCATGGCACCCGCAATGTCAGTGGCAGCTCCAGCAGCAGTCAGGGGAGCTGATGCCTCTAGAGAAAGTGCATCACCAGTTCGGTCCATCACCTACTGATGCTGCATGTGAAATATCTCCTCCAGTCTAGAGAACTCCAGACCCTTCATAACCTGCGCAAACTCTTCGTCCAGGATTTGACCACCCGGGTGAAAAAGGTGAGTCCTGTCATTTCTGAACAGGTTGAGGAAAAAAGTTGACCTTGACGTATCATCTCCAGTTGAAATATCACTTGCTCAAATTAAGGCTGGTTATGCTTATAAATTAATTACCTCATGCTAGAGAATATTATTAAAAGAATGTGCTGGGGGCTGAAATTACGTAGGAATATTTTACCCTCTGATTTTCCTTCTTAGTAAAAGGAAGTTATAATGCTGTCCCTGGCTGGCCTTTATTTAAAATGACATATCATCTGTCTGGCCCCTGCTGTGTGGAGGTTGCTGTTTTGGGCCAGAAAAGTCTAGAACATTGTTGTCAGAAGATGACAGCGTGGTCCACTAGTCTAGAGAAGTGAGATGGCCAGACCTCATGTTTGTCTAGGCAGGTGGTGGTATTAGTATTGCACCTGTGTATGCCAGAGTCTGTGCAGTAGGTTCTAGCATGCCCCGGGTCGCAGGTTCTAGCATGCCCCGGGTCGCAGGTTCTAGCATGACCCGGGTCGCAGGTTCTAGCATGCCCCGGGTCGCAGGTGTGGATCTAGGCTTGGATGTGATTGAAGACTGGAGTCTGCAAGCTGTCAAAATCCTGGTGATCTTAGGGAGTCTCCATATCGGTGACTCAACAGGTCAGCTCGGAAATTTGAGAAGAGGTGAAGCCAGGGTGTAACGGACAAGGAAGGGGCAGGGCCTCATGGAAGGGGCATGAGAAGACTGAAGGAAAGAATTAAGAGAAACATGTGAAAATGTTTAGTAAAGGTATACCCATGCTCGAGTGTGCCTACATGTATATGTACTTGTACACGTGGGTATGTTTGAAGAGGCAAAGGAGAAATAGTCAAACACAGTGATAAGGGAGCAGTTGATAGAAGCAGATCTGAGGACAGAATTAACAGCACAAATGGATATGCTACTTGGTAAGGAGAAGGCACTGAGTTTTCCAGAGGTCAGAGAGAGTCAAGCTGGAACATTTGCAGGAAACCCCTGGACAGCGAAAGGCCACATCTGATGGCTGGTGTCCTCAGTGGAGGAGGGAAGAGAATGTGGAGCCAGGGGTGCAGGGCTTGTGATGAGAGAAGATTCAGCCAGATGTGGATGGAATCAACTAGGGATGAGTTAAGTGGGTTGCTGGGCAGTGGTGTGTGTGCCCAACAGAAGACAGTTGGCATGCGCCTGTGGCAGCATAGCTCTATGAGTTGGAATCTTGGTAATGCAAATGTCGGAGACAGAATCATGAGAGATTTTCAAAGCCTGAATGGCAGCGGTCAGTTCACTGTATGATGACCACAGTTTTCAAAGCACATGTTAACTTGGGGCCTGCACCATATAGGAGGATGAGGTCAGTGTAGACTGGACAGAGAGGACACCTGATAAGAGTTTATAGCAAAGAAGACCTCTGTCCCTGGGGGGAAGTCGGGTGCTGCTCAGAGAAAGGGTTAAGAGGAGGACACCAGAATCCCCTGGTTTCATTGTATGAAACATCCTAAGGATGACCTGCTTTTAGACTTTCAGTCTATGAGCCTCTGTAGCTACATTGACTCACCTGGGAATTTGTTTAAATGCTTAATACACCCCCAGATCTGAGGAATCCGAGATGGGGATGGGCTCAGCAATCTGAGTTTTAATAAATGTCCTGGGGGTCCTGGTGTATATTCCTGTTTGAGAGCTCGTGTTTTGGGCTGAATTGATGGTGGAAACCATTACCCTTCTGGAAAAGGATTGTTTCTTCCATTGTCACACCGGACAGACGTGTTTTGTTATTTTTGAACTTAGGTTGCGTTTGCACATGTATTTTAATTTATCTGTGCCACCTTGCTTGTCAAGAGTGTGGTGTTGGTGCCAATTTCAAGATCTGATAAATCTGAAGGATTTTCCCAGCACCTGGGTGCTGTGACAGGGCTGAGGCTGACTCACGGAGGAACCGCATAGCGTTGGGTGTTTAAGAGACAAGCAGAAGCCATTAGGATTTCCCAGTGGCAACAACAGCTCTGACTGACAGGTGTGGTGATTTCTTGTCTGGTCTTGACGGCTAAGCTAAACTTCAGTCTTATTTTCACACTGGATCTTCTCAATAAGTTGTGAGCTCATTCTTTCTGAAAAGAAAAATCTCTTTACCTGCAGGGAAGAGGTGCCTTTCATTAAAGAGAAACTTGTACAGTGCGCAAAAGCAGATCTGACGGTATTCTTAGTCCAGCACTCCAAAGAGTTACTCTGCCTCACAACACTTCAGTGCTAGCCAAGGAAATTTGTTGGGAAGTCCGGGGAATGGAAACTTTTACAACTTCTCTTTATTTTCACTTTCGGACTGTTTTTTAGTGGGACTGTGGGTTTTTCCTTTTCAAGAGCTTTAATGTGTCTTGAACTCTGGGTAGGTGAGTGGGAAGGCGGGTTGTGCCACTAACTGTCATGTGTGGATACAGAGTGTGGAGTTGGACAGCGACGATGGAGGGGGTAGTGCCGCCCAGAAGCAGAAGATCTCTTTCCTGGAGAATAACCTGGAGCAGCTTACCAAGGTGCACAAGCAGGTGGGTGAGCTCACTGTACCCCATCCCCAGCGTCTGCTGTTCCCTGGGTGAAGCCTTGGCTGGTCGGCCACAACACAGAATCGTTCTGGTGTTGGATGCCTGTGCATGGTTGGAGAACATGCGTGCTGGAAGGAATGTAAGTCCTTGAAAATCTCTGACTCTTGGTCAGGGATGGTGGCATGCACCTGTATTCCTGGCTACCAAGGAGGTAGGGGGATCACTTAAGTTTTTGTTTTAAAGATTATTTATTTATTATGTATACAATGTTCTGCCTGCTTTTATGCCAGCACACCAGAAGAGGGCATCAGCTCACTATAGATGGCTGTGAGCCACCATGTGGTTTCTGGGAATTGAACTCTAGACCGCTGGAAGGGCAGCCAGTGTTCTTCCCTTTTGAGCCATCTCTCCAGCCCAGCCCCCACTTAAGTTTTTAATACCAACCTGGGTACCATAGTAAGATCCTGTCTCAAAGTGACAACAAGGTCTAGGAGGAGTTAGGGTGAGGAAGAAGGCGTGGGTATGATCCAAATACATTGTAAAAATTCCAAAAGAATTAATAAACCAAACAGAAAAATATTCCATGCCTTTCACCCTCAGTAACTTCCTTTATATATGGAAAACTTCTTTGGCAAACAAGATGGCTCCTCCCATAGTTTTGTGCTGCCATGCTTGATGAGTCCAATCCTCAGAACTCATACTGTAGAGGGAGAAAGCTAACTTCCTCAAGATGTCCTCTGACCTCTGCATGTGTGCCCTAGAACACAAGTGCCTGCGCACGCACACACACACACATACACACACACACACACACACACACACACACACACAAATGAGACTTTCTTGGATGGAACCCAATATGGGATCTGTTTATAGAGAATGAAAGGGGAACTCTCTAGCACTTGGAATGAGTAAAGTGTTGAGACTGTGTGTCCATCCCGCTTTCATTCCACTCTTAGATACTGACTGGCCCTGTGCTCTCCCATGATGTCTCTGAGGCACCTCTGTAGAACAAAAGCACAGTGCATGTGCTGAGCATGCTGGCTCAGGTCCCTTATTTGACTGCCAAGGAGACATTACTTTGTCCTACAGATGGCATGGAGGTTTGAATGGGAATGGCTTCTGTAGGCTCATATATTTGGATGTCTGAGAGGGGCACTATTTGAAAGATTAGAAGGACTGGAGGTATGGCCTTGTTGGTGTAGGTGTGTGGCCTTGTTGGAGGAAATGTGTCACAGGGGTGGGCTTTGAGGTTTCAAAATCCCATTCCAGGCCCAGGATGCTGCCTGTGAATCAGGATGTATAACTCTCAGATACTTCTCCATCACCATGTCTGCCTGTATGTTGTTAAGCTCCCAGCAATGATGATAATGGACTAGCATCTGAAGCTGTAAGAAAGCCCCAGTTAAATGCTTTCTTTTATAAGAGTTGCAATGGTTGTGGTGTCTCTTCACAGCAATTGACCAGTGACTAACACAGGTGGGAACCAGCAACCTGAGCTGTTCTTCTCATCCTGCCTTGGCCATCTCTGGTGTCCCTTAGGATCATTGCCCTGACATCTGTCCAGAGTGACGGAAGGGATAAGCATGCCCAGTGTACCAGTGACTTAGGCAGGCCATTTACCTCCCTTCCTTTCCATAAATGCCAGCATGTGTGTGACTCGTTCTCTCTTAGGGTTTGGTGTGGGATACAAATGGTCTAACTCTTTGGGCCAGACAAGTAAGAGCATGTCACTTCTCTTTGACTTGTGAGGTTTGTTTCCATCAAGCTGTTGATGACATTTCCCCAGAGAGAGGATGGGAGATCAACACAGTGAAATCATTCAAGCAAATTGATAATGAGAAATACAGAAGCAAAGACTGCCAGGCATCTTGAGATCTGGCTCTGCAACTCATTATTTTATTCATGAATTCAAGGAATATTTATTAAAAGCCAAGTCTGCCAGGCATGGAGCTGCTGCTGGCATAAGCAAAATAGGTCAGAGCAGCAGCAGCTTGCTCTGATGCCTTTTCTCATTTTTGATCCTTTCTCTGATCCATCTGGATTCCAGCAATTGTAACTGGAGATTAAAGTGCAAAACCCTGGGCTGTGCCAGTGCCATCAAGCTAGGCTGGGTGGGTCCCATGCAAGGTGATCTGCAGTACTGTAGCCTGTCCTTCATCGTGACTGTCCTCATCTTGGGGTGGTATATCCTGCAAACTTGCTTGCTACTTGGGGATATTGTCAGTCCCTTGCCACAAAGGTATTTGTGGATTAGTCCTGCTGTTCTTGGAACCTAAGGTAATTCAAGAGAAAAGATTAAGGGCAATGACTTCTCTATCTGTCGTCAAGGGGAATGAGACAGGGGGATAGGGGTTGTGTGTGTGTGTGTGTGTTGGGTGGGGGGAGTCTAGCAGGGCTCTGATCCAAAGAGAAGAGACAGAAATAAAATCATGCCAGATTCTCGTCCTGCTTTTTTAGTCCCTCGTGGACCTGTAGAACTTTTTCTCCTTCCTTTGACTAAATACCTGACAAGAAATGACTTGTTCTACGTCATGGTTTGAAAGTACAATTCATCATAGCAAGAGATGCATGGAGGCAGAGTTGGTTAATAGTTGTGGGGTATTACTCAAGTTTTTAGGGTGCAAGCCTGGACGTCTGCAGTCCTAACTCAGCCAGTGTCATCAGTAATGCCAACTAAAATGATGAGGCACGGCGAAAGGCAGAGAAATATTTAACCAGTGTGGTCACATTGGGAAGAGGACAAGCAAGGAGGTCCACGACCCTCCCCTCCGCATTCATCTGTGGAGTACTTACATAAGGTTTAGGTTTAAATCCAGGGCAAAAGAGATGCAACTAAGCCACCCTACTCAAGGTGCAGCCCCGCCCATCATCACACATTATTGCCTTCGTCTCTGCTTCTGGTATGTCTTAAAATTCTTAAAACCATATGAAATCTTTTCCTGAGAAACAAGATCCTCCTCTGGCTGACACGAAGACTCCAGCCTTTCCATTTTGCCAGCATGAAATTTCTGGGGAACTTCCAATTCCTTGGTGACCATTGTCTCAATAGTCTGGTAACCGATGAAAGGGACACAAGTGTCTCTCTTTAGAAAGTCTTCCCTCCTGCCAGGTTGGTTACAGTGAAAGGAATCTTCTTTTTCTCAGTCCAGCTCCCTGTAGGGTGAGGATGCCCACCATTCGGGTGGAGCTTCCCTCCTTAGTTAAACCTTTCTGGAAATTATCAAAGATATGCCTAGAGCTATGATTGTAAAGACAGTCAAGTTGACAATTAAGCACCATCAGTACACTCCCTGTCAAGTGAACCCCAAAAAGATAAAGTTTATTTTTAATTTATTTTTTTCTATTTTATGTGTATGAATGTTTTGCTTGTATGTATGCCTGTGTACTATGTACATGCCTGGTGCCCAAAGAGGCCAGAAGAGGGTGCCAAATACCCTGAAACTGGAGTTCCAGTCAGTTGTGAGCCACTGTGGATGTTGGGTATCGAACCTGGTTTCCTGCAAGAACAAGTGCTCTTAACCACTGAGCCATCTCTCTCCAGCCCCTTAATCACATTTAAACCAAAACACTACACCTTGGTCCTTAAAGATTCATAGCCATCAGCTAGGCGTGGTGGTACACACCTTTAACCCAGCACTCAGAAGGCAGAGGCAGAGGCAGGTGGAGCTCTGTGAGTTCCAGGCCAGCCCAGTCTACAAAGCAAGTTCCAGGACAGCCAGGGCTGTTATACAGAGAAACCCTATCTCAAAAAACAAAACAAATAAAAAACAACAAAACAAAAAGATTCATAGCCTTTTTAAAATTTATTTTTATTTTATATGCACTGGTGTTTTGCCTGCATGTATGTCTGAGTGAGGGCCTCAGAATTTGGAGTTAAAGGCAGTTGTGAATTGCCATGTGGGTGCTGAAAATTGAACCCAGGTCCTTTAGAAGAGTAGTCAGTGCTCTTAACCACTGAGTTATCTCTCCAGCCCTAATTCATAGCCATCTTATGCAAAATGTATTTAGTTCATCTCCAGGAGTCCTTAAGTCTTACCAACACCAATGTTTTTTGAAAGCCTAAATTCAGACTCTGCTCTGAGACTAAAGGTGACATTTTTAACTGTGAGCACCTGCATGGGAGAAATACAAAACATTTCCAAAAGGAAGAAACAAGGGAGAAGCATAAAAAGATTGCGCAAAACCAAGTTAGAAACGAACCAGGGCAAACACCAAACAAACCCTGCATCTCCATATCCAACATCTCAACTTGTGATAGCATCACTATGCTCCAGTGGGCTTCATAGCCCCATGCCTCAGGCTCTGTTGCCATGGCTACCTGTGACCCCCCTGTCTTGGGCTGGCTCTATTGAGTGCCTGCACATTTGTAGATCTCCACCTCCTGGGGTCCCCATTGCAGCATGGGCTTTACTTTCACAGCTTTACATACACTCAATCCTAAGTTCTTTCTTCAACACATGTTGCCTGGCCTTAGCAGCCTTTGGGAATACTGGCGTAAGCTTCTACGACACCTCCCCTCACTTTCGGATGTTACATGCCTTCAAATTCAGTATCACATGAGTGGTACAAGATCTGCTATTCACTCAAAATGGAGTCTTGCCCCTTCAGACCACAGCTGCAGTAATCTTTGTGTCTTCCAGGCTGAACCTGAGAAAACACTTCCTGGGTGGCCCCATGTGAGCAGTGTGCCCTGGAAACTGTCTTAGTTCAAGTACTCTTTTCAAAGGAAAGATTTTCAAACATGTTTTGTATTGTTAGGCTTGAGCTCATGGGTCGGGGGGGGGTGAGGATCTTGTCCTAAAGGCAACTTTTCTACTGTCCTAGTTGTAATAATGGTTGAAGCTTCTCCTTAGTAGCTTTAACAACTTAATTTCTTTAACAGTTACAGTCATTCTGTCCATATTGACTTTAAGCTCACTCAGGCTCCTTTCCTTGCCAAATTTCATATCTTTCTGCTACCTCCCTTTTTATCACAAATCTAAGAACAATAAGCAATAGCCATGCCATAGCCTGAATATTATACTATTTTGAAATTTCTGCTTCAAATTCATTAGTCCATCACTTTTTTTTTTTTATTTTTCAAGACAGGGTTTCTCTGTATTGTTTTGGACCCTGTCCTGGAACTTGCTTGGTAGACCAGGCTGGTCTCGAACTCACAGAGATCCGCCTGCCTCTGCCTCCGGAGTGCTGGGATTAAAGGCGTGCGCCACTAACGCCTGGCAGTCCATCACTTTTGAATTTAACTCTGCTCAAATGTTCAGGGCAGAGATAGAATACAGCTAGGTATTTTTTTTTTCAGCTAGGTATTTTTTTTTCTTTTTGCCAGAATAGAACGTGAACGGTCTTTAGGTAGGTTCACAACAGAGCTGTTACTACGCAAGCCACTTCATGAGCCCAGCCTCCACTGCTCTTCCTTCTGTAGGCACTCTCCAAACTCCCACCAGAATAGTCCACGAAGCTCTGCCCATGACACCGGAGGGCCCCCAAATCTGCAGTTCCACTGCAGGGCTCTTCCACAGTTCCCCGGGTAAACTGTCCCAAAGCCTTCCCCTCTGGGTCCACTTTTTCTGTATCTGTTACTGTTTTCGTTTCTGTGGCCACGTGCCTGACAAGAAGCAGGTAAAGAGGAAGGTTTCATTCTGTGGCTTGAGGGTACAGTCTCGTAGCACAGGAAAAGCGGGATGGGAAAATTGACTTGTAGCAGGGCTAGCAGGAGTTCGCTCACCTCTGGGCATTTCAGGAAGCAGAAAAGATGAAGACTTCTGCTCATCCGGCTTTCTCCCTCTCCCCTTTACTCTAACGCGAGACTCCAGCCTATGGGATGGCTCTAACCACACTCTTGATAGGTCTTCCCCCAGTGAAACCTCTCCGCAAATGTCCTCAGAGACACACATCTCACATTGTTTGGGTCATGTTGACGATGAGGGTTAACCTACCACAAACCTCAAGTGAGGAGTCAGTGCGTTTTAGTGGGTACAGTTCCTAAGTGATTATCTCACTGTGACCTTTTCGTTTTGTATATGCAACTCCGCCCAAACTTGGAGTGGCTCAGCTCCTTACACCAAGTCAGGTGACAGGAAATGATAGCCTAGCATCCACCTAGGGTCAGCCTGTTGCTTCTTAATTATGGGTCCTAGCTGAAAAGGAGCCCCCACCCCCACCCCGTCTCCTGTGAACACGTTGCAGGGCTGGGTTTCCACCCGTGCCAATACAGGCAGTGGGCTGCAGGAAGGTCTGCAGAGAACTCTGGAATGTACCGATTTGCTGACTTGGAATTTCTCAGCTCATGCATGTATCCTAGAGTAATAAATTCCTCACAGCCCCTTCCCTCCACTGTACACACTCAAACAAGAGAGGCAATAAGCCCTCTCCCAGAATAAACACGTCCTGTGGCTGGATATGGCTTCTGCTTTTCTCCATCCCCTCATTACTGCTCCTGGTGAATCAGGGTGACACGGGCCACCAAAGACAACCTAGTAGCGTAATTGTTCAGCTGCTGAGCAGGGTTGTCTCTCTTCTTGCATGTCCTTGTCCTGCCAGGGACATGGCCTGGCTCAAAACCGGCTTTTTTTGTCCCTGCTGCAGCTGGTCCGGGACAATGCAGACCTGCGCTGTGAACTCCCCAAGCTGGAGAAGAGGCTGCGTGCTACAGCTGAGCGCGTCAAGGCCCTGGAGAGTGCGCTGAAAGAGGCCAAGGAGAATGCCATGAGGGACCGCAAGCGCTACCAGCAGGAGGTGGATCGCATCAAGGAGGCTGTGCGGGCCAAGAACATGGCCAGGAGGGCACATTCTGCTCAGATCGGTATGTGTGTTCTATGTGTGTTCCGAAGCTTGGGAGCTACCGTGCCTCTTATTTAGGATTTCACTCATCTGAAAGGATATGACTGTGGGACGTGGAGTTCCTGGCACCTGGGTGTTCGTGCTGGGAAAGCAAGACAGTCAGGCATCACTGTCCTCCTGTGTGGAGTGTATTCTTCAGAACTGTACGCTAAGCCCCACAAGCCAGCGGCGCCATAGCTCTTGACTGTAACCAGAGACACACTCCTGGAACTAGTGTAACATACGAATATGTCTCAGCAGGATCATGAAGGAGACCATCTGTCTGCCTTGGGAAAGTTTCTTGCAAGCACTGGTTTAGAGATAACTGGAAAGAGCCCCGCTGGCATCACTGAGCTGCGTGTTGCTGGGAGCTGATTGGTGCCCTGAAGTTCAAGCCCGCAGGCCTATGGAGTGGGGCATTTTGCAGGAATAAGAATGGTGGCTGTAGCTGCTGCTCCATTGTAGATGCCAGGCCAAAGCCAGGGGGAATTATGGGATATGCAGGTGTTCTCTAGAGTTGTTTTTAATCAAAACATCTCTAATAACATGTAACATTATTTTCCATCAGATACTGTTTTATAGCTATATTGTGAGATAGCACCTTTGTGTTTCCATTCTTAAAACCCCATAGATTAGTGATATATTGAATTTTTTGGATTTCTTACCCTTTGAGAGTCTACTGAAAATTGTGGCCTCTTTTCCTAGAAAACTCATCACAGATAGAATTCTTATGAAACCTATGGGGAACTATGGAGCTACTGCAGATGAGATCCCAAATCCTTTGCTTCTAATTTCCATTTATTTATTTATTTATTTTTCTATTTATTTATTTATTTTTCGCTCTTAAAAATAAGATGATTAATAAGCCAGTTTTTTTTTCTTCTTGTTCCCTGAATTATGTGGGTACCCTGAATTTACTAACTGTACTTCTCAAAGGTCAGACCTCGTTTGACAGAAAGGTCTAATGGTCTAGGAAGCGGTGATAAGTGTTGATAAGCATCATGACTGGTTGTCACTAATGTTGTTGTTCTCTCTCCTATCCTTGGGATATAGCCAAGCCCATCCGCCCAGGACATTACCCGGCATCATCTCCAACAGCTGTCCATGCCGTCCGAGGAGGAGGTGGCTCTTCAAACCCTACTCACTACCAGAAGTAAATGCAGAGTGAGTCCCTGCAGTCTGGGGTGTTTTCTCTTTGCAGCAGACCTGGGCTTATTTGGGGGCAGAGCCCTCTTGCTACTCCAGAGCCCTACTCCAGCCTTCAGCCACATTGTCTAATAGAAATAAGTTCAGCTCTGTTCCAGGAGAGGCCTAGGATCCAGACAAGACAACATAGAGAGCCATGAGGGTTCTGTAGCCACAGGTCCCTGGGGTTGGTGCAACCCTGAGCCAGGCCTGGCCTAATCACCCACTTCTCATGATGATGAGTGCCTCATCTGAGCTTTCGTTGGTCTGTGGGGCTTCCCTCTGCAGCTGTATCTACAAAGCCAGATAGATGCAGCAGGTGCTTTTGGTCTCAGGAACTGTCATGTTTTTGTACTTACTGTGAGCCTCGACAAACAGGGTTTTGAAGAATGTATGGTTTATATTACATCCACTTTCTTTGAGATGTGGCCTGTGAGCCCTAGTTTCTGAAACCCACATGCTCAATATTGCTCTGACAGCAAAAAAGTGATATATTTTTGAGGAGAGAGAAAGGGAAGAGCCAAGCCTATCCTTAGTAACTGAATAGGTTGGACTGGCAGGTGAACAATAGATGGTTAGAAAACTCGGACTTTGAGTGTGTAGATGGGAGGAGATGATCAGGCATGCTGCTCCCGGGCTCTGGGCCCTCACTAGGGAGGCTAGCTAACAAGGCAGGTGAGCATCCTCAAGTGATGTCCTGATGATCAAGAGCAACAGAGGAGAGCCCCCATGTATTTAGTCCTTTCTGAATGGGTGGGAGCAGAGCCCTCACGCAGGGCACAATTATGGTGCTGCTAAGGCCCAGCTTTCCACAAACAACAAGGAGCAGGGCCTGGTCAGGTGAGCAGGAAGCAGAGGGCAGGCCTAGGTAGTCTGCACTGGGACAACCTACCTAGCAGTGTCACCACCATATCTTAAATGATCTTGCCAGTGAGCCAGCCATTCATGTCCAAACTGTGCCTTCAATCTGAAATAAAATTAAATTGGATTTTACTGAATTGTTTTTGATTGCATGCTGTCAGTAGTGAGGACAAAATCTGAAAGGTAGGCATTTGGGGGCAGTTTAACACAGAAAAGCCTGAAATTCTGGTGAGGCGTGGAGGTGGAGATGGGGGTGGGGGCGGAGAATGTACTTAGCATGTAGGGACCCTGGGTTCGGTACAACACTGCAGGAAGAAAAGTGCCAGCTTTGGTGGGTGGAGGCAGCACCTTGGACCACAGGCCAAGCTGCTGGCGGGATGGGACCTTCCTGGGCCTCTCTGTTTTCACCAAGAATAGCTAGTGGTTTTGAGGGTCACCAGAGTGTAATGCCTGCTTCCCTGTAGTCCCCATGGCTCATACACAATAGCAGTTTGTTTCTCATGGGAAGCATAGGGGCTGGGGTCCACAGAGACCACAGAAACCCAGACCGTAACCTAGACCAACAGTTCTCTGTGGTGCCTCCTTTCCTCAAGGTCACCTCACGGTCCCCAGAATGACTTCTGCTAGACTTTGAGCCTCATGCCATCTTTCCACAAGGAAGCCAGGGCAAGACAAGGCAGCACTCCTGGCTGCAGCAGCCTCCCTTAAGTGGCCTCCCTCAGAGGACCCATGGAAACTGAGGTCTACATCCCCATGACAGGATCAGAAGCACATGGCCACATAGAAGGCTAGAAAAGGCAGCTCTTTAGTTGGGTTTTATATTGTTGTGACCATAACCTCAGCATTTTGGATATAGAAACAGGAAGATCATAAGTTCAAGGTCATCCTCACATCCTTAACTATATAGCCTGACATGTAGAAAGCTTATCTCAAGAAAAAAAAATCAGAACTGGTCAAAGTTTCAAAGTCTTCAGAGAAACAACAATAGCAATTCATTTCTTTCTTTACTCAGTGAGTTGCAGGTGATTTAGGATGATTTGAGCTAAAATTGAAGCCCCTCTATAGCATACTTTATCCATCCAGTTCCCATAGCTGGGTACTTCCCGTGTGTACATAGTGAGTTTCAGTGACTTCCTGAGATTTGTGAATTGTTTGTATCCTAAATGTTAATGAGGTTTTCAGGATGGAATGTTTCAATTCAGAGGACATTCCACAACTTCCTCTGTCTCTTGACATTCTTTCTATTCTCTCTTCTGTGATGTTCACTGAACCCCAGAGGAAATGACCTAGATGTCTATCTAAGACCAAGTTTTAAGCTGCTGTATCACAGCAATAGTACATTGTTCTCAAGTGTTTCACCAAGGGTCATGAGTTTCTGCGGTATGCCATCATTTGCAGGAGGACGTTTCCTTCCATGACCAACTTCTAACATCAACAGTAACCCACATGCATATGCACAAATAATTAGAAGGCAGTGTGGCAGGAACATTACATCCACTTAATAAAACAATGTCAGCTGCTTTTCCATTGGGGCCTGTGAGCATTCTTAGCTTACAGTACCAGAAATGAATCCCCTCCTACAGAGTGGGCTTTAAATCTAATCAGTTTGTCATACCCCAAACTATCTATGCCACTATTGCACCTGTGGTTATACCCTGCTTGGCGTTTTGATAGTGCAGCATGCAGGGTCCAGTGTAGGATTGTTGGTGACAGTTGTCCCCAGCAGCCTGCACAGCACCTTCCAGCATTATGAAAGCCGCAGGGAGGAAACTTCCAGTTTAGTCCCAGCCTGACTTCTCTATGTTTTATAATCAATGCATGCATCATCTTTGCCAGTAAGGTCTCACCGTTTAATTCTGGCATGGAACCAATAGCAGTGGCAATGGGCAATGGGCTTTTTTTTTTCCAGGGGTGGGGAGTAGAACTTCTCGCTAGCCAACAAATCCTCCATAATCAGGCCAAGGCTGGCTCTGAGATATTTTTTTTTCACTGCGATGTTGTAAGAATCTTTTGGCTTCTGGAAGCACACTTTACTGCTCATGCAGGATGCCTCCATTTAAGTTCAATGTCTGCCTTAACTGCTCTTCTACACGCTTTTATAAATCTGCAAGATACTCGAGAGTTGTCGTTTTATAACAAAACCTTTTTACAGAATGTGTACAGGACCTCTGAAGGACCATTGTCATCCATTTCAAGTACATGCCAGTTGCTTTTGAGCTGCTAAGGGCGTACTAGAAGAGAAATCTTAACAAGACCTAATACATACAAAAAGATCCCATCACGTTTCTAAGTTTGTTCTTCAAAAGCGCAATGTCAGAAACTAGTCATGGTGGCACATCCCTTTAGTCCCAGCACTTGGGAGGCAGAGGCAAATGGATCTCTTGAGTTCCAGGTCAGCCTGGTCTAGTTCCAGGACAGTTAGGAGTGATGCACAGAGAAATCCTGTCTTGACAAATCAAAATAAATAAACAAAACAAACAAATAAATAAATGAAAAGAGAAAAGAAAAAAAGTTCAATGTTATGTGTGGTGGTATGGATGGGAGACACTCCCCCGTTTAACCCTCTGTAATAGACATTTCCCTTGAGCCATCCAGCCTCCATCCTGCTGTCGTCACAGGGCTGCTGTGTGTCTCTTTACCTGTGCTGTTGTTGGTGAGGCCAGCTTGTAGGCTTGGTGCAAAGGGATGCACTCTTCACCTGCTGCTGGCACTGACTCCTGGGTTCAGACAGGCTGCAGCATAGCACTGTAACCCAGCCTTTTCATCAGCCTGGGCAGGTTCCACCTTAACACATGCTATACTGTGGCCTCAGCTCAGCCCAGGCCAGGGTTAGTCTTTGTCATGGATATTACTTTACCATTTCTATCTTCTGTGAACTACTACAGCTCAGGCTTTTAAGCCTTTTAGAAGCCCGCTGGCACTGCGTTTGGCTAGCACAAATCTTGCTACACTTGCTAGCCCCTGCCGATCCCTCCCATTTTGCCTTTTTTTTTTCATCATCTCTCGATTGCTGTTGTGTTTTCTGAACCCAACGTACGCGTTGGCTGTGATGTTCAGATCTGCCAGAGTTTCTCATACACCATGAAGGTCACAGATTACCACGGTGCTCAGTAAGGCCCTGTAGCATTCCTGGTGTCCCCACTGAGTCAGTCTCTTTTTAAACTGTGAAAATGGGTCCATCAGGCCCAGAAAGCTAGGCATCCAACACTGCCTCTCTCAAGCTGATTGTCTCAGTGACGCCTGTCACTTTATCATCTTCCAGCCCTTTGTATTCATGAGGACCACACCTGGTGATGGCTTTTCGTCCTAATGGTGCCTCTGAGCCCCTCCATCCCATCAGACACTGGTTCCTCATGTGACAGCTCAGCGTCCCCAGCTTTTGCCTCAGTTTCTTCATTGCCACAACACTCACACTGATCCCATCTTCACCCGTGTTCCACAGCCTCACAATTCAGGTGATGGCAGCCCCTTTTATGTTTAAAAGTCTTTTCCAGTTCACGAAACTGAGAGACGGATGCTTCCTGGTCTTGCATGGGCCATTTTAAGGCCCACATGTACTGAGTTACACATTTCCCTTCTGAGGGCTATGGATTTTATTGTTGTTTGCTTTAGAGACAGGGTTTCTCTGTGTAGTCCTGGTTGTCCTGGAACTCACTCCATAAATCAGGCTGGCCTCGAACTCACAGAGATCCACCTGCCTCTACCTCCCGAGTGCTGGGATTAAAGGCATGCGCCACCACTGTCCAACTCTTTGTGCTTTGTTAAATAACTTTTACTTTGTTCCCTTCTTCATCATTAGTTGGTTTCTTCCATAGGCTCCAGTCTTTTGGATCCCAGAAGGGGCTATTTAACATAGACTGTTCCATTCCTGTATCCAGAAGAAGTGACAAGGCAGCACCTCTATGTCATCCTCCCATTTTCTACTTTCCTTTCCAAGCTGGGCTAACACAAGCAGTTGCTACATGTTCTTTACCCATTCTAAGTGCCCCTCAAACCAGCAAGCTCTACCTGAGAAGACAGCCAAGCCTCAGTTACATGTCTTTTCATCCATGGAGGGGCCAGACCACTGCTACTACAACCAGTTCATGGTCTCATCTCACACAGGTCCCTCTCTGAGA